TTTGTGGGTGATGGCCATGCTCCATATATCATCCAAGCATGTGGTATGAGGATAGTTCTACCCTTATCAGCCAATCCAACATGCCCTTTAACAGTTAATACTATAGAGGAGCATCCTCATTTCATATGTTTGTAACATATAAATCTGGCAGTAATTACATGTACTTTGTAGACAATATTTATAATGTCATAATATTTAACATTTAAATGATCCATAACCAACTTAACAGTTATATTACATATGATTAAACTGTACAACATTCATCAATGAAGATGAACAAAGAATCAAATACAATATCTAAATTTCTACTCCTACATGAGGATGTTAACTCCTGATTCAGTAACCATGACTTGTCGATGGAGATTTTCAGGATGAAGTACCCATCTGCATACATATTCTTCTCGAAATTTCTGAACTTGCTCCTGTACAATATGAAGAATGTCATAATAAATTGTATTCATAGTAATAAAAAAACAAAACAATAATACAATGACTTTAATGTTTACCGATGTGTAATGAGGCATGCTTCTCCCATTCACTTTGCTCCGATGAATTTATATCAGCTATATACTCTGTCTCAATCTTGTGTCTTAATCTTATCTGCAAATATAACATGTATAACATATATAACATACATAACATATAACAAATTGAATATTTAGTAAATCACTTTTCATAAAAAAACTATAATTAACATGCACATACCTTTTTCTCGTCAAGACGGTCTCTTTTTGCAGACATTTTTTCCCAAACTAATCCTGTTACAAATTATTAAAATTGTAACTTACAATCACAAAATAGTACAAACAAAAAAATTAAGTCCAACCATGTTACACATACTTTTGGTCAAATTGTGAATTATGCAAACGTGGGTGTAAATCTTGTGCATATTATACAAAATGTTTGTCATGCAAATACAATTCTTCATTGTAGCATTTCATCAAACACTTGTTGGACATTAATATAGCATCACAACTCAATTAACCCTAAACCCTACAGAATACTTTCATTACAAACCCAATCAAAGATAAACAGAAAACAAAGCAACAATGCGCAAATACAATTCTTCATTATAGCATTTCATCAAACACTTGTTCGACATTAATATAGCATCACAACTCAATAAACCCTAAACCGTGAAAAACACCTTCATTACAAACCCAATCAAAGATAAACAGAAAAGAAAACAACAATGGAAACCCAATCAAAAATACACACAAAATCAAGCAAATGTTGTTAAACGAACACTCACCACCGCAGGGTCGCTCAAGCAACACACAGTGATGTTCAGCTCCAACGACACGGACGAAGCCAAGCGACAGGAAGTCGAGCGCCGTCAAGAGCGAGATGGAGAAATTTTACCCTAAGTCGAGGGAGAAGAAGTCGAGCGAGGAAGAGCGCGAATGTGAAAAGCGAAAATCAATGTAATAAAGAACCAGACCCTTTTTCTAACATTTAGATAGCGGTTATTTGGCCAACCGCTATCTAAACTATACATTATGATCGATTATTATGCAATTATAATCGATCATAATCTATGACTTTAGATAGCGGTTACTTGGCCAACCGCTATCTGAACTATGCATTATGATCGATTATTACCCAATTATAATCGATCAGTTTTATATATATGACTTTAGATAGCGGTTAATTGGCCAACCGCTATCTGAACTATACATTATGACTTTAGATAGCGGTTATTTGCCCAACCGCTATCTGAACTACATTTATTATAGCGATTATTTTGCCAACCGCTATCTAAGGTCGCCTTGCGCTCGAGCGACTATGTAATCGCTTGAGCGACAGTGACAGTTGAACCTTTGCCAAACGAAAGTAAACTCCTGCAAATCCTGGAAGGAGAAAGGTGTACCCTTGAGTTACTTTTTCTCATATGAGCTCGTACAAAGGCGCCAAGAGCTTTCTTATTCACTCTTGGCGGGGACTACTACTGGGAAAGCAAACCAAAGATGCGAAAACTTTTTATGCTGTTGGCTGCTTGGGCGCTTACTCTGCTCTCGTCTATGCCCTTGGAGTGATGCAGGTGGGTTTTTCTAACATTTAGATAGCGGTTATTTGGCCAACCGCTATCTAAACTATACATTATGATCGATTATTATGTAATTATAATCGATCATAATCTATGACTTTAGATAGCGGTTATTTGGCCAACCGCTATTTGAACTATGCATTATGATCGATTATTACCCAATTATAATCGATCAGTTTTATATATATGACTTTAGATAGCGGTTAATTGGCCAACCGCTATCTGAACTATACATTATGACTTTAGATAGCGGTTATTTGCCCAACCGCTATCTGAACTATATTTATTATAGCGATTATTTTGCCAACCGCTATCTAAGGTCGCCTCGCGCTCGAGCGACTATGTAATCGCTTGAGCGACAGTGACAGTTGAACCTTTACCAAACGAAAGTAAACTCCTGCAAATCCTGGAAGGAGAAAGGTGTACCCTTGAGTTACTTTTTCTCATATGAGCTCGTACAAAGGCGCCAAGAGCTTTCTTATTCACTCTTGGCGGGGACTACTACTGGGAAAGCAAACCAAAGATGCGAAAACTTTTTATGCTATTGGCTGCTTGGGCGCTTACTCTGCTCTCGTCTATGCCCTTGGAGTGACGCAGGTGGGTTTTTCTAACATTTAGATAGCGGTTATTTGGTCAACCGTTATCTAAACTATACATTATGATCGATTATTATGTAATTATAATCGATCATAATCTATGACTTTAGATAGCGGTTATTTGGCCAACCGCTATCTGAACTATGCATTATGATCGATTATTACCCAATTATAATCGATCAGTTTTATATATATGACTTTAGATAGCGGTTAATTGGCCAACCGCTATCTGAACTATACATTATGACTTTAGATAGCGGTTATTTGCCCAACCGCTATCTGAACTACATTTATTATAGTGATTATTTTGCCAACCGCTATCTAAGGTCGCCTCGCGCTCGAGCAACTATGTAATCGCTTGAGCGACAGTGACAGTTGAACCTTTACCAAACGAAAGTAAACTCCTGCAAATCCTGGAAGGAGAAAGGTGTACCCTTGAGTTACTTTTTCTCATATGAGCTCGTACAAAGGCGCCAAGAGCTTTCTTATTCACTCTTGGCGGGGACTACTACTGGGAAAGCAAACCAAAGATGCGAAAACTTTTTATGCTGTTGGCTGCTTGGGCGCTTACTCTGCTCTCGTCTATGCCCTTGGAGTGACGCAGGTGGGTTTTTCTAACATTTAGATAGCGGTTATTTGGCCAACCGCTATCTAAACTATACATTATGATCGATTATTATGTAATTATAATCGATCATAATCTATGACTTTAGATAGCGGTTATTTGGCCAACCGCTATCTGAACTATGCATTATGATCGATTATTATCCAATTATAATCGATCAGTTTTATATATATGACTTTAGATAGCGGTTAATTGACCAACCGCTATCTGAACTATACATTATGACTTTAGATAGCGGTTATTTGCCCAACCGCTATCTGAACTACATTTATTATAGCGGTTATTTTGCCAACCGCTATCTAAGGTCGCCTCGCGCTCGAGCGACTATGTAATCGCTTGAGCGATAGTGACAGTGAACCTTTACCAAACGAAAGTAAACTCCTGCAAATCCTGGAAGGAGAAAGGTGTACCCTTGAGTTACTTTTTCTCATATGAGCTCGTACAAAGGCGCCAAGAGCTTTCTTATTCACTCTTGGCGGGGACTACTACTGGGAAAGCAAACCAAAGATGCGAAAACTTTTTATGCTGTTGGCTGCTTGGGCGCTTACTCTGCTCTCGTCTATGCCCTTGGTGTGACGCAGCTGGGTATCGATTTGACTTTCGGATCTTTAGGTGGCACTCACTTGCCCCGTCTTTGCTCTACAAACTCATGGAAAGGCAGGAGCCTGGAAGCCAGGAAGAACGACCCCTTCAATTCTTCTATAACATCCCCCATTTTTACAATATTACATATCTGAACCCATACAATTTTACTAATCAAACCCTTATTTTTAATTAATTTCTTTTTAGCCCCGGTTGTCTAACAGTTGTTTGTTTTCGGTTGTCAAAGAATCGTTTTCCTTTATTATATCTTTAAAGTAAAGATGGTTTGGCACAATGTATTGTTAGTGATGTCTGAAACTACAATAATAAATTTCTGACAACGAGCTCTTCTCCACATTATCTCTTCAGGTGCTCAAAACTCAAATCATGTTCACATGTTTGCTTTACATTGAGTTTGATACAGTAAATTGTCTTTATTTGTAAAAGTTAAATCTATTGTTTTTTTAAAAAGGAGAGTCAGTGGATATATGTTATATTATACAATGCAATATGTCAAGGACCAAATGACTCATTTTAATGATAAGATTAGGTAATATTCATTTTTATCTTATTTTGTTGATTGAGTGTGTTTTCCTTAGCTTATGTTTCTTTTTTAAAGGTTACGGTTTATCTTTTACGTCAAACTATGTTTAATGTAAAAAATTTTTGAGTTCGATATAAAAGTTTTTTCTCATATTTACAAAATTGTTATCACATTTTTTAAGTTGAATATTTTTACATTCCATTAAAATAAGTGACGTAAAAAGAACATTTTCCTGATGGTAACTCGCTTAGACTTATCAAATGGGTTGAAACCTGTTCCTAAGACCCAGAAAAACATGTTATAGTGGCAACATCCATATCTAAGGTGCTCGAAAGTGTTGTTGAAAAGTCAATCAATCGGTCAAGGGTATCAGAAGGAGTGAGGCACTTACCTTATAACTTCCCCTTTTCATGTTGATATGTTGGACACAATTGGTCCATATGGTCTCTTGAGTCGTTGAAGTCATGACAGCACAGATCATGGTTATACTACACCATTGAAAAGGTGTTGTGCTGGAAGGCATAATAAAGATATGGTTGAGTTAAAGAACTTGAAAAAACTATGGTCAAGATAATGAAGGCAAAAGGCTATATACTTCAAGGCCAATTATTTGATCACACCAATGTTGTAGCTACAAAGGCTAAAGAGAACACTGAACTCACTCATCACCTTTAAAACCTAAAATCGAAGCATTGATTAATGCACAATTGGAAAATTGATTGAAAAATTAATTAATGAAGGATTGACGAAAGTACATTTTAAAATGGATAAATCAATCAATGATAAATGGACAAAAGAATGATCTAAAAGTTGATTTAAAAAATCAATTAATGAGAGTTGACAGAGATTATCATGTGTTTTTGAAATGAATTTATTAACTGAAGACTTGCATAATTCCAGGTTTAATTTGACCTCCATCTTGAGATTGTCCATAGGTTTATCCTTATAAAAATCAAATTAATATGATTATGATATTCTTAATTTAAAAAAACAAATACAAAATTTAAATGTTTCATGTCATATAAGACTTCAACTTTCATACAGGTTTAAAACATTATATTATCAACCAATTTAAAACCAATTTATATATAAATTTAAAAATAATTATTCAAAAGTAATAATTTAGATATGATGGAATGATAATGTCAAGTATTTTAATTAAATTATTGAATAAAAAATTAAACTATATAATTTAAGTCAAAACCTTTTACCACTTATCATCGTCATCGTTATCGTTATTATTATTATTATTATTATTATTATTATTATTATTATTATTATTATTATTATTATTATTATTATTATTATTATTATTATTATTATTATTATTATTATTATTATTATTATTATTATTATTTTCAAAAGGCTACGTAATTTTACCCATGTGAGGCTACATCTTTAATACTGAAAATGTTTCACTAAGTCATTAAAATGCCTATTAATATATAAATTAATTACTTATTACGTCTGCCAAATATTATAAATAATTTCAAGTTTTATTATTTTTACTTTTTAAAAGTGAAAGTTTTAAAATAAATTACAAAAATAAAATGTAGAAATGAAATGTAGCATGAAGTCAACCAATTGGCTGATGCACTTGCTAGGCATCATAGATCCATTAATGAAAAATTTACAATCTTTCATTTTGCGCAAAATTTGTTATCTTTATATTTATTGGGCTGGGCTGAGCTGTTTCAACAGAAAATAACTGAGCCCAATAAGTTAAAAATGATATATCAACACTATTTCTTAGTATTTTAGGATTCTAGGGATTTATAAATAAATAAACTCCAAATTTATAAATATGATATATATATTTTTTATTTAATTTTTTTATTAAGTAATTTGGATTATATAAAAAAAAATTTAAGTTTTGAATTGGTGAATCCAAAAACATTTTAGACTGGTGAATACGAAAGTATTTTAAAAAAACTTCTAGATGGTAGAAATTTGAAAAAAAAATGTATAGTTCAATCAATATAAAATAAAATAAATTAATAATAATAATAATAATAATATAAATAAGAATATAAAATATATAATTACATATAACTGAAGAAGCAATTATAGTTCAAGCATTGAAACGTATGGAAATTTACCGAATTGGTGAATCTAAGAATTCTTTTGTAAAAAATAATAATAAAAATAATTTAAAAATCTGAAAGTTTGTTTTTTTTTTATAAGCTTTTGAATTCACTAGTTCGAAAAATTTCAGATTCCACAGGAATTTAGAAAATCTGTGTTTTATATTCTGAGGACTTAACCTGAGACTAAAAAGAAATATTATAGATTATAGTTTATTAATCTAGAGCTTTCTATCAGGAGACTCCAATTTTTTTTTATCAAATTATCATTTTCATAAAATACAAAAGAATAATATTATATTTTAAAGTAATCATGAGGATGAAAAAAAAATTAGTTATATTTTAAACATATTGCTTACAAAATTATGTTAACAATTTCAATAACTGACATTTTCTTCTTCCCTAAAAATAACAATATTTCAACACAACCAAACGGAATTAACTTTATTATCAACTGAATAAAAAAATCAAACAAAATTATCTACAATAATTGCATAAGTACTTTTTATATTAAAAATTCTAAAATTAAACTTCAATTAAAATCATTTTTTAATTAGTTTAAAAACTCTGTATTAAAATTTTATCCGAACCTAAATATGCAATGAATCACCCCAGATAGATAATTATTTCAAAAAACAAATTTTACAGTTATGTGCTATGTATGAGTTCAAAGAGTTTCAAATTTAATCCAACTCCACAAGTCTTTCCAGCATCTCCTTAGAATTGCTTATAGGTTAATCAATAAAAATGTCATTTTAATATAAATATCATTTCTTCAAACTAGAAAGGAGTGTTATTCTTGACATATGTAAAGCAGATAACAAAACAATATAAAGAATTCTCATAAAACATGTCACCATTCAAAACATTTGCAATGCATGTCTTGGAGATAACATTCAGAATGTTTCTTAGTGACCCATTCAATTCAATTAGATTGTCGCAAATAACAAATTATAAATAATTCTACATCATTAGTTTTCAAAGAGCAAATCTATATCATTAAATAGACCGAACATTAATGGAACTGAGTTCTTGGTCAAAAGCAAATTTTTGTTGATGAACACAGGAACATTTACCATGTCGTTACTGCAGTAGTATACTAATGTTGCTTCCATGATGCTTCATAGTGTCCATTCTAGACAAAAGTACTATGCATTGTAATAATGAGTTATTAAATTTATATATGGTTCCAATTTAAAAAAAAAATGGCATGCTGAACAAAGGGCAAGAAACAATATCCAGCAAGCAACACTATATTTCATTTCACTTGGAGAAAAAACTTTACATGTTCTCAACAATCCTATATTTGCTAGTTCACTCACTGTCATACCTACAAAAATTCTAGCGCATTGGTGAAAAGGCTTCAGCAGCAAGAAAGAATTGGTTTCAATTTTTATCCAAAACACTACAGTTATGTTTCCTGGTCTCTCACAGCATGGTCTGAGACAGTTCCCTCAGATGACACCTCCACTTCATCGGGCCGTTCAACCCGAGAGGGATCCGACTGAGTCTTGCTGGAATCTCCACTATCAAGATGATGTACTTCTTGCTCTAGAGGTGGACACCAAATTTTTGGTGAAACCTGCCTAGTATTCTTATTTTTGAAGGCACCTTCTGAGTCTTTAAATTTGGCTCTGCCAACAGGCCTTGGCATTGGAAGCTTGTTGTCAAGAATGTTTGAAGCACCGGTGGTGATCGATGGAAGATGGGAGCCAGAACAGGATGCAACCAACTGGAGCACTTCGGGAGATGGAGACATCCCTGAAATTGCTTTTTTGGAAGAGTGTGACGAGTTTGCCCCTTTCAAATTTAGAGGCAAGTTAAGGTCAGACTCAATCTGCTGAGATCCAAGAGGTCCTGTCTGAGAAAGTAGAGGCAATGGTGGGCCCATTGAGCTTGAGGCACCATTATCAACATGGTGGCTTCTGTGCAAGTCCCTGATGTTGCCAGCAAAATCTGGAAGACCTCGATTGAACTTATGTGATCTTCTCTTCTTTTTCTTCTTGACACTACACCTGGGGTCCTTTGGTAGGGAAGGAGGTGGTCCAGGAATCACAAATGGAGGAATTGTAGGCTTATCTTCCCCATATAACAGGCGAACTGATTGAGCAATGGCTGATACTGTGGGTGGCAGTTCAGGCCCGGGAAGTCTGGCTGGGGAGCTCACAGCTTCTCGTAACCAGTGGGGAAGCTTGTCTTTTGAAGTACTGCTACCACCCACTTCCTCTCCTTTTGAGTGTAAAAGATCAGATCTTATGGGGTTAGATAACAATCCAGAGCTAGTAGACTCACCATTTCCTACATTAACTTGATTATCACGCATATCAATAGGTGGTTCGTCTAGAAGTATGGGTAACTTTCCACGCTTGGTGTTTCCTTGGTCATCCTCCTTCTGCTGTGCATCAATGTTGCCTGAGCAATTCAAACCTAAAGAGCCCAAGGTACTGGTTCCAAAAGAATTGAGCAGAAATGGTCGTTCAGTCAGTACACTGGAAGAAGTACCTGGTCTATCAGATGTTTCAGCAGAAGCACCTTCAGGAAATTTAGATCTATTTTTATCATAACTCCAAGATGGAAGAGGTACAAAATGATCATTTTGCAAACTTGGTCGGTCCAATGCACTAAAATGTGACAGACCAGATGCAGAATCACCTATCCCTAATTTCATGTCAGTCAGATGGTTATGAAATTTTGGTGGCAAAAGAAATTTGCTCCCATGCAAGGCCCTTTCCATCATACCATCAGAGATTGGAAAATGTGCTGATTTGGCAGACTTTGTTGTCTTGGAGGATCTTTGTGAGGGAAAAGCTGGCCCCTGAAAGACCTTTACCTGTTCCTCTTCCCACCTCACTGATAAATCTTCAGATGTTTTATACTTTGAAAACTTTAACTTGGGATCTCTAAGCATAACATCCCAATTACCCCTTCCGTGCCTACGAACACCAATCCAGAGGGAGTCAAGTTCATCTTCAGACCACCCATCTGATTTTGACTTCTTTTTCAATAAGTTACTTGATCCAGATCCTGCTCTCATCATTATGTTTTCAAGCACCTTCCTATGGTTTTCTGGGAAAGATGAGAATGGGGTTGACCTTTGTCCCAAACCCAAAATAGGGGGTACATCCCTGTCTTGCTGATTATATCTGAATAAATCTTCAGGGGGTATTTTGAAATTAGGCAATGCTGGCATTGTTGGAAGATCTCCATTCAAAGATTCAAGTCTTCCTCCTATGGACAAATTAGGCAAAAGGTCCAAATGTGAATTTGGTATGCTCTTGGTTGTGAGTGGAAACCTGGCCAGCAACCTTTCGTCGAATGGCAGGTTGGACAAGGCCATCTTCTCCTGAAAATGAGAGAATCTAGCACCAGAATTTTCAAATGCATCGGATTCCTTTCCTTGCACAGAGGGTGGAAACTGCATAATAAAAACAAAAACAAGGGATACAAATCATAAGTACACAAGCATAAAGCCAACTACAATTGACAATGAAATCAACACATGTATTAAGAGAGCATACTGGAACAAATGGAAGACTGTTATCAGGGATACTATTTTTGAAACTTGGTTGTAAATTTTCTGTTGATGCATCTGCTAGCTTGGTATTTGTTACCACTTCCTTATTTCTGACCTCAGCATCCATGGATGTCCCAGAGCAAGGGGCAAGACTGAAAGGAAACTCTTGTCTGGATCCATGTCTATGTTGCCTCCAATTTAACTTTGAAGTATTACTTTCCAATGACTCTATATGTTTTGTATTGGGAGCACAAAGCCCTAGTACGGGCAACAAATTGTTGGTGGACATATTATTTGTCATGCTCAGCCCCCCCTTAGGGTGACTTGGAAGAAAAATATCAGGGAGAGAACGGCCTAGATTACTGACAGAAGCATCAAAATGACTGCTCATTTTATGTTTGGAAAGTTTGTCAATCCTTGATAAGGAGTCAGTGTTGCTATTCTGAGCTTCTGAAAGTTGTGTGTACTTGCTGTCCTCTAAGTTTATAGAAGGCACCTCTTGAACTGAGTGCATCGGTCCAGCCCCTAGATCTCCACCCTTGGCAATAGCTGGCGAATGCGTGAGTTCATTATTTGGAAGTCCCTCAGCAGGATTTGCTTCTTTCATCATCTTCCGTAGGGCAAGTAGCTCCTTTTGCCGTGCTCGGAGTTTGACACTGTCAAGCAATAGCACGTGAAAATATTCAGTGAGAGAACCCATTTAATCATAAAGGCATACTATCGGTACACAGAATCTACCACTGCCACAGGACATAATATCTTGGTCCACAAGTTTGAAAAATAGTAATTAAAATATATGAACCACAATTAAATAATCACATCAGTACGGATAGTTTTGAAGAGGGAACACCACAATATACTATAACTTGTTTAGAGGAAATTAAAGCATGGATGTTCAAACTACCATAAACAATCTAATAACAGCATGTAGGACTTGCTAAGAGCTCTAGGAAAATACTTTCCAGGAGTTAAAATTTAGGTATTGGAGGTTTAGATATGCATTAAACAACTACTTTATAGAAAAAAGAAGGAAAACAAGTGACGAGGAACTCCTTGACAATTTATCAGAACTCAAATAGAAAAACATCTTAATAGAATAATGCATTCTAATCCCCATGACAGATTGGCCCATTTCAAAAGTGTAGAAAGAGATGGGTAAGAGGAATGATGACAAAAGATTGGAAGATGAATATGCATACATTTCCCATAACTGTATTTAATAAATGAAGTAATTCAAAAAGTTAGAAAAATAAGCCATACTATTTTGTCTTATGGGCCCGTCCTGCTGGTGTATATTCACGCTCAGGCTCTGGTTCTGGCTCTTTTTCTTCTTCACCACCACTCTGGTCGAACAAGCACACCAATAGAAATCATTAAGAAATGGAGACCAACAGAGTTTGTAGAAGAGTTAAAGCAAACCTACAGGAGCTAAAGGTAAACTGATGAACAGGTACGAAAATTTCAACAGTTAAATGATAAGAAGTGGCCCTAAATTGTGCATAGGAGCCTATTTACAGCCTTGCACTCAAACCAAAATTAAACTAATAGTGAGCTGAAAATAAACTGGGATAAGCCCCAAGCAAATAAAGTGAGACCCAATTTACAAGAATAAAATCTCCCTGTTAAATACAGCACAAACATTCAATAATAATTCTAAGGAGTCACATGATTACACCAAAGAAAACAACTCCACCCTAGCTTAGCCAAACACTCAAAGAACCAAAAATGCTCGAGAAAGTTATGACACAAATGGAGCATTTTAAATTGGAAGGCATAAATATAGAAAAATGTAATAGGTCCACAGCTAATCTGATTAAAAAATTGTACAGAGACCATAATAACTTTTCCAAAGACATTTGGTAGATCTATCACAACCAGGGTACTGCAGAATGACAAAAAGAATAAAAAACCAGAGAGTTGTCACCATAGTTCAAGGGAAAACAGGGCAAAACCCTAAAAGAAGTCTTGAATCTAGATAAAGACAATTATCCTTTATCCTAACATGTAAAATAATTTTTTTTCCCTCTTCCTCATTATGTTATTCAGAAAGAAAAACGCCTTTTTATCTCCATTTAATATTTTTCAAAACGCAACTTTTACTTTCTAAAATTTTTTATCTTATTATCCTTTATTAATGAACTTTGGGGAACAAAGCTGAAAGTCCAAAAAACCCAACTTAACCAACATTTAACTTTTATAATATATCTGATAAATCACATGGGAGGACATTTTAAGATAGAATGAGAAACAAAATTTTGCCATCATCTCGCTGCCAGCTATATTCAGAACCAAATACATAATTAAAAAATATTTATCATATAAACTTGTATGTTTTGCTGGTGAGCAGAAAAAGAGCAAATTACCTCACTCATTGCTTCACTTGGATGTGGAGCATATACTTCCCTATAAGAAACAGCTTTCCTCTGCCTCTTCCCTCGACCAAGAGCTGCTTCCTCTTCATTTTGATATTTCTCCCATCTACAAACCAAGTTAAAACAAAAATTTAAGGTAAGACATGTTAGTCACACCACTTGATAAACTATGCTGTCAAATGCATGACAAAATGAATTAAATCATCACTTGTAGAGATAAAAATTAAATTATTTGAATTAAAAAAAAATATGGTTAATAATAGCTCCTTTACTATCGTACTCAAAAGAGGTCATTGCTAGCTGCTTTAGTTCTTATAAATAATAATTATGTTAACCATGGGTGTCTAAATCTTTTAGTTAGGATGAACACTGATTTGCAACTTTTGTATCCGTGAGTGCTGTGCCACTTCACATAATCATGACCTGAGTATAGCCACTTCATGAGACTAAGTACCTGTTTGTCAGAGCTTTTAAAATAAGAATTCTACGAACATATAGAGAAGTGCCTTTTTATAAAAAAGAGGAAGCTATTTTTTGTTTGGTTACAATTCTAAGCTGTGTCTGGCCCATCTCTATCTTGTGCGCACAATAAGTAAATCATAGCTATCTAATTGTTATTGTCTCTTGGCTTCAATCTTCTATTTTCTTGAGAAAGTTACCTCGAGTCATTGGGATGCAAGAGTGCATGATGTCTATGGGAGAAAACTCATGCACATTTTCACTCTCACAAATGCTCATTCATGTTACCTTCCAAGTGAGCTTTGTAGTATGATGCTTGACTATCAATCAATTTCAGAGTATATTCTTCAGATTCAGTATCTTGCTAATGTGATTACAACCATTGGTGAACACCTATCTACAAAAGATAATTATTCTTGAAGGTCTACTTAAAGATTTGAGTCAACAATTGCTCTTATCAGCAGTCACTTAGATCCTCTCTCAATTGGTGAAGTTTAAACACTTCTAACTCATGAATCGCGATTGGAAAAATTTAGGAAAAAACCCTTCTATGAATTTGACCGAAGTTTTTGCCATTTGTTTCTACTTTTTTACCTTAACCTCATGTCAGTACTATTCAGAATTATGTGTGTATATATATAGTGATTCTCTAGCTGACTTCAATCAGACAAATGATTATTCCACTTTTTATGGTGGTTTTGGTGGCCATACCAAAACCAACTGAAAAATGGAATAATCTACTCTCCCCACAAGTGCTTCTAGTGGCCTTCTCTGTACATGTCCAAACCATCTTAACTGATTTTCAGTTATGTTTTACCTTATAATCAGTGACACCTAAATGAGTCTCATCCAGCTGTCAGTCATCTCATGACAGTTTAGTTTGGGGTTAGTTAAAAAGTTGTTTAGTGTAACAATAGTAACTCTGCTGTCAGACTGTGTAAGAAAGCTAGTTAATCTCAGATTTACAAATACCTACCTTCAAACCAAAACTATTCAGATCAATAATATCAAAATCACTTTATGCTCTCAAAACTCTCTAACATATTCCCTTTACGTCCTTGCATTTTCTATGTTTCTATCTAGTTCCATTGCTGGCTTTCACTCCTATTAGATAATTTTTCTGGGAGCATTCTGCTCAATCCATTCAATCTCTGATCCACCAGCACAAGGTAAATCCTCATCCTCTCCAATAACATTCACAAACATAACCTGTTAGACTGGACATTAGCAATCAGTTATTGCAGAAACAGCAAGTAGAAACAGTGATCAAAGCTTGTCTTATTAATAGATTCATTGGAAGTCTGGAGATTCCATTAGACAAGTCAGCAAAGCATGCATGCAATGGAAACTGCAAGACCATATGCTGTGTTAATAGTTCTCATTCTCTATTTAAAAATCAATGCATACTTGAGGGGATGGCTGAGTTTGTTCGTGGAAGGTATGGCAAGAAATCCATGCCTACATTTCAATTCTCACATTTGCATCAAAGTGCATCAACTAGAAGCAGATTTTCACAACACAGAAGGGTATCCTATGTAGAGAGTATTTATCTCCTTCAAATCAAACCTTATTGACTCACTAGTGTAAATCAGTGGTCTGGTGACACTGCATGTTCACATTCTAAAATGATTTAGAGCCTGTTGGAATAGATTAGAAAATATATGTAATCATTATACCTAAGGTAGGGGGTTGAGTGTTAGATAATCTTTGCACCTAGTTCTGAGGAGTAGTCTAGGACTGTGCATTTAATGTAATCTCCCTATTGTATCAGTTTTTATCTATATAAATAGAGAACCATGAGAGGGGTTCTTCAAGCCCTCTAAACACTTTTTCTCTGTTTTGAATATCAAGTTGATATCAGAATCAAAGTCTAACATCTTTCCGGTTATTACCTTGGGCCAAGAGTTGCCCTTTCGTTGTGGCTCAAAAGTACCTTTTGCCTGGTCCGGCAGGCTTCATTAGAGGGGGCGTGTTGAAAGTCTCACATCGCCTACCTCATGTCATTTGGTATGGTTTAAATACATGTTAGGTAACTCCACATATTGCCAATTGGTTTTATGTTGGAACCTTATGTCATCTTAACTACATGTTTTCTTATTAAGAGGATGTCATCTTCCTCTCTCAGTAATAAAGTCCCTTTCTTCATTCTATTTCCAAATAATCCCCTCTTTCACACCTCTCCTCGAATTTTTGGTCGTGTATGTTTTGTTCAAGACATGTCTCTAGGGTTAGAAAAGCTTTCTGCTCGTGCTAGCAAATGTGTCTTTTTGGGCTATTCCCGCCTTCAGAAAGGGTATCGGTGTTACTCTCCTGAAACCAAGAAGTATTACACGTCTGCGAATGTTACATTTTTTGAACATACTTCTTACTTTTCTCCTTCTGTTTAAGATGTTCATGTCATATAGAAAGTCCTTCCCATTCCAGTGGTTGAGTCTAATATTTCCAATGTCTCTATGATCTCAGTCGTGATCCAAGTTTTCCTGAACCATCATTCCCTCACATTGATATTGTCAATCATAGGACCCCGATGGCTAGCCCTGTTCTCCAAGAAGAGGGTGAATCCCCCACTTTAGATTCTTCTCCAACATCGCTTCCTACCATGACTCCTGGTGAAGGTGATTCAGGATGACTCATTGCTCTTAGAAAAGGTACTCGTTCCACTCGAAACCCACATCCTATTTATAATTTTCTTAGCTATCACAGACTGGCACCTTCCTATTGTTCCCTTTTATCCTCAGTATCTTCTATTTCTATTCCAAAAAATGTGGAAGAAGCACTTGATCACCCTGGATGGCGACAAGCCATGATTGCAGAAATGCAGGCTCTTGACCATAATGCTACTTGGGAGCTCGTGCCCCTTCCACTGGGCAAAAAGACAGTTGGTTGCCACTAGGTGTATGCTGTTAAAGTCGGCCCTGATGGTGAAGTTGATCGGCTCAAAGCTCGATTAGTTGCAAAAGGGTACACTCAGGTTTATAGCCTTGATTATTGTGACACTTTCGTTTGTTCTTCGCAATGGCTATCATTCGTCACTGGCCACTTCATCAATTAAATATCAAAAATGTCTTCCTACATGGTGATTTTGAGGACAAAGTTTACATGGAGCAACCTCCTGGGTTTGTTGCTCAGGGGGAGTCTGGACTGGTATGCAAATTGCATCGCTCTCTATATGGCCTCAAACAATCACCACGTGCTTGATTTGGAAAACTTAGCTCCACTGTTCAAGAATTTGGGCTAAGACGCAATGAAGCAGATCATTCAGTCTTTTACTGTCATACATCTTTGGGTAAATGTGTTTACTTAATAGTATATGTTGATGATATAGTCATTACAGGAAATGATACTGCTGGAATATCTCAACTGAAGGAGTACTTGTGCAGACATTTTTAAACCAAGGATTTTGAAAGCCTAAAATACTTCTTGGGCATTGAAGTAGCTCAATCAAAAGAAGGAGTTGTAATCTCTCAGAGAAAATATGTTCTTGATATATTACAAGAAACAGGTATGATTGACTATAAACCTATAGATAGTCCTAGAAACCCAAATCAGAAATTAACAACAGAAGAAGATGAAGTATTCTCTGATCTAGAGAGATATAGGAGGCTGGTCGGAAAACTTATTTATCTCACTATTACAAGGCCAAATCTATCTTTTGCAGTTGGAGTGGTTAGTCAGTTCATGCAAGCTCCATGTATTGGTTATTGGAATGCTATCATTCACATTCTAAGGTACCTCAAAAAGGCTCCCGAGCAAGGATTGTTATATGAAGATAGAGGAAGCATTCAGGTCACTGAGTACTGTGATGCAGATTGGGCAGGTTCCCTTGTTGACAGACGGTCTACTATTGGATATTGTGTCTTCCTTGGAAGAAACATTATTTCATGGAAAAGTAAGAAACAAAATATAGTGGCTCGATCGACAGTTGAAGTTGAATATAGGGCAATGGCGTCACTAACTTGTGAACTTATATGGGTGAAGCAGTTCATTCAAGAGTTTAACTTCTGTGATATCCACACTATGAAGATGTATTGCGATAATCAAGTTGTTCTCCACATTACATCAAATCCTGTGTTTCACGAGAGAACTAAACATATAGAAATTGATTGTCACTTTGTTCATGAAAAGTTGTTGACAAAAGAAATATGTACCGAGTTTGTTGGATCAAATGACCAACTCACATATGTGTTTACCAAGTCCTTAAGGGGACCTCGGATTGAGTTCATTTGTTCCAATCTTGGTATATACAATTTGTATGCTCCAACTTGAGGGGGAGTGTTGGAATAGATTAGAAAATATATGTAATCATTATACCTAAGGTAGGGGGTTGAGTGTTAGATAATCTCTGCACCTAGTTCTGAGGAGTAGTCTAGGACTGTGCATTTAATGTAATCTCCCTATTGTATCAGTTTTTATCTAGATAAATAGAGAACTATGAGAGGGGTTCTTCAAGCCCTCTAAAAATACTTTTTCTCTGTTTTGAATATCAAGTGAACCTATCCTAGATCCATTGAAAAGGTTACCCACCATATGATCCACTTACCAGGTCTAATAAAGCTAGACATGAGTGAGTATATTGTAAAAAACACAAGTCGCAGATCGATTAAATATAGTGTATAAGTAAGGGACAATTCTCACCTTACAAGCTAATTTGTAACTGAGTTAGGTCCAAATCAAACCAACATTCTAAGAACCATTATGGTCCAAAGTTCTTAATGTTTCTCAAAATGGTACTTATATTCTTATCAAATAAGTTCTTTATATAGCCAATATTCAGTAATTCACGAGCATTAAAGTAATATATGACCAAAACAAACAAGACAATGAAGCTACTTACCTCACACGCAGTAGTTTGTCCCATTCATTTTCTTCATGTACATTCACTGGGTTATCCTCTTTCTTATCAGAATTTTGTGGACACATATCATCAGTCCCAGGAGGAGGAGATTCACCCACTACATGCTCTTCAGTTGGTTCATCATTCCACTCAAGGGCCTATATAAGAGATTTTAAGTCATAATAAGGGGCAGAGCAAACTATGACTAACCAATAAGAGCACAATGATAAAATTTCAGAAAAAAATAAATGGGACAACTTAATCATTCAATTAACATGATAGAATCTGTGTTTATGGGAAAGAAACTTATAGAAAAAGGGCAACACAAGGCTCCAAATAGTGGAGTTTGGGGAGGGTAGGTGCCACAGCCTTACCGCACAAGCGGGAGACTGTTTACAGGATTTAAACAGAAGGCAGCAAACTTTCCGTTTCTCCAAGGCTCCTCCTTAGAGAAAGAAACTTGAATCATATTAAAAATAAATGGAATGGATCTACATAGAAGCATCAAAAATTTCTTAGTTTAGATTGTTTACATCATAGAGAGACAACTTCAAAAACTACATATAGATCCAAGTATATCCATTAATGATGGAATAGGAAAACTTAAATCATCACATATGCACACAAATCAAAAAGATACCTTTACAAAGCAAAGGTACCTAACCTAAGAAAGGGAAAAGAATAAAACCCATAAATGAAAAAAAAACATGGGACAATAGGGTATGTCATTGTGTAAACACAAACAAGACAAACAAGATTCATGGTTGTCACAAAAATACACGACTAAGTTTATTGCCCTATTGGTAATATTCTAGATTCTAGCAAAAGTTCAAAGAAACAATACTGTATCAACAAGAGTTAGTCGATTATCTCACCTTCACTGAGCCCAGCATATCATTCTCAGAATCCCCTTCAGCATTATCAGTTGAACCATCTTGAAGGATTGAACGATCAAGCAATTTTAAAATAGCATTTTCATCCCACAGAATTTTGCTGCTGCTATCAGTACACTTATCCTTGTATACATCTCCCAGACCACCAGTCCTCTTCCTATGCTTATGTTCTACATCGGCTACTGCCTCATCTTTACTATTATTGTTATTTTCACTCATGTCTTTCCCATTCAATCCAGGAGAATCATTGAAGAGTTCCTCAGTTCCCCACTTTAAAATGTCTTCTACTTCTTTTTGAGATCCAGACTTATTTACAAATAGCTGATCAAGCATCAATTTCTTTTTAGCAAGCTGCAAGATGCGCTCTTCAACACTAGCACGAACCACAAGCCGGTATACCAAAAGTCTATTTGATTGTCCAATTCTGTGCGCTCGATTCATTGCTTGGATATCTGCATGGGGGTTGAAATCAGAATCATAGATGATGACAGTGTCAGCAGTTGCCAAATTTATTCCAAGTCCACAAGAGCGAGTTGATAACAAGAAAACAAATCGACTTTTGTCTTGGTTAAAGCGTGCAATTGCTGTCTGGCGATCAGCTACAGAAACAGATCCATCTACTCTCTCATATGTTTTAGGCCCAAATTCTATAGTCAAATAGTCCTCCAGAATGTCAAGAAGCTTGGTCATTTGTGAGAAAATAAGAACTCTGTGACCTTCCCTATGTAAAATCTTTAGCATAGAATGCAGAAGGGTTAACTTAGCTGAAGCCTTTATTCTCATTTCATGAAGAAATTCGACAGAACCAGATTCAGGCTCAGTTCCTGGTATGAGGTATGGATGATTACAGACCTTCCTCAATTGCATTACAATGTTCAGCATAGACTGTTGGGCAACCCCTTTCCCAATATTCCGCAATATTTGATAATTCTTTGTAAGCATTGCACGATAATATTCAGCTTGAATGGATGACAACTCAACAGGAACCATTCTTTCTGTCTTGGGAGGAATATTTTGCATGGCATCCTTTTTAAGTCTACGAAGCATGTGAGGAGCAACAAGTTTTTTCAATTCATCAACTTTCTCTGCAGTCGTAAGATCATTAAATTTCTCCTCAAATGAAGATAGAGAAGGAAATGAAGCTGGCTGCAAGAAGTTAAGTAAGTTGTACATCTCACCAAGGTTGTTCTGGAGAGGGGTACCTGTCAACAGTACCCGATGTTGAAAGGAGAATGTATTTAGCAAACTGAAAAGCTTACTTCCAGAATTCTTAAGTCGATGGCCTTCATCGACAACAAGAACTTCCCAAGGAACTCCACGCAAATGGGAATAATCAGCAAGAACCATTTCATATGTAGTTAAAAGCACATTAAATTTATAGGATTCTGTTTTCTTATTCAATCCACTTGGATCATTTGCATGCCATTCATACTGGCGAATTATGGCTCTTGCTTTAGCACAGCCATGATATTCAACAACATTCACATCTGGAGCCCATAGTGCAAATTCAGCAAGCCAATTAGGCATTGTAGAAAGCGGTACCAAGACCAGGCAAGGAAGTGAGACTTTGAATTCAAAATACAATGATGAAATAAAAGCACAAGCAGATACTGTTTTCCCAAGTCCCATCTCATCAGCAAGTATCACATTCTTGGATTTATACCAGCACTTACGCAACCAGTTCAGAGCCTCAAGCTGATGAGGAAACAAAGAACCACCTTTCAAATCCTTAGGTTGCTCTATAAGATTGAAAATATCATTTTGATGATCATTGTTTCTCCTAGTTGAATTTTCCTTTGATGAATCCCTTTCCAACGTGAGAGTTTCAAGCTTATTAAAAAGTGTAATCAGATGAGAATTATTTTGAAGCACTGGTTCATCTAAACTTTCCCAAGTGCATTCATCATAAGGCAGTCCGCTCCATTTTACAAATGCTTCAGATGTTCCATGTTTTGAAGTTTGAAGGGCAAGCACCCGCTGAGGCTGCTTCCAACGCTCCTCGGAAATATTAATAATCGTCATCCCATACTTTGCCTTGTAATTTTCTAGTTTTCTCTTTGCAAGAACTTTTAACTGGGATTCAGAAATCCAACTATCATGAATATGAGACTTTCCTACCCATTTAACTAGAAATTCATAGAGAACATCCTCTCCATTTGGACCAGCACATTCAACTACATTAGCATTCTGAGCCTTATCATCAATACTGCCACCCATCCCCTTCTCTGCGTTCATTTCCTTTTGTTTTGCTTCAAGAGTGAGATGTCTTTCACAATTTTTTGGAAGCTCACTATTATCCTCACTTCGTAAAGCAACATCAATGCTCTCCTCTGTCTCCAGCTTGTCATTTGGTTTGTTCAACTGGTCAGCAGAATCATCCTGACCTTTACCATCCCTGGCACAGGAACCTAAATCATCAGTGGATTTACTCAATGAATCTACAGGATTTCCTTTCTTACTTTCTTTCATTATTGATCTTCTGTATACATGAATTTTTTCCACTCTATTAGTGTTTGTCAAATTTCCTTCTTCATCAGAACCCTTGACGACATTTTGATCATCAATATGATTTTCAGTTGATTCATCATCCAAATCATTAGGACAAGCAGAATTGTCCTCTAGTAGCCTGGTCTGATTTTCTGATACTACCAGAGCACCGGAAGGTGAGCCACCCTCAACATTCAAGGACAAGTTATGAAATGAATTTGTATTCTCACTATGAATTCGACACCCTAGAACCCGATCAACCTGTGAGATGCATATCCAAGTCAAGTAAGTCATGATAATCACATAAAAGATGCCAAGGCAGGTATTTTGTTAAACAAAGAAATGCAAATCATCTGAAAGAAGATACTTCTAGATGGCTACCTGCAGAGACTCAACAACAGCACTATCTTCGTGCATCAAAGTTTCGTCTACAGGATTTCCTGCTTTATCCAGTTCATTTGATGTGTCCTTCATTACACGAGAGAACTTCTGCATTCAGAAGAAAACAAATCATGATTACAATGTGATAAAAATGCAATAGAATCTCAACAATAATACTAAATATATTTTAGATAGTATATTTAATGTAAATCGAGGATATAATAGTAGGATTAATACATTCAAATAGCAGACTAAATATACTTTACCACATCATACTGCTCTGGTACCTAAAAAACATACAGCTACTGACATTCCTAAATCTAGCTCAACCTAGCAAACCTTGGATACTTTGAAAAACACTTATGCCTCATTTTTCTTCCTTTTTTGCAGCATGTATACACCTAAAATTTCTCTCACAGAACAAGTGTCTAAATGTGAATATATTCAAAATTTCACTCCTAATAAAGGAGAATGTATTTACAGAAATCATCTAATTCACTAGTTCTTTCCCATATCGTAGTATACTAGTATTTGGCCAACAGCTACATCACTGTCAGCCTGCACCATTATTCATTAATTTTTTTTACTTTTTCTAACCGAAAGCTTACAGAGGCCTAGGAGATTTGGACAATACATATGAAATGTAGGTTAGAATTAGCAAAGGAAAATAAATTTGAGATTGAAGATGAGTTATGCCTTTTAAGGACATTCCAGTGGCAAAATGCCACACATAAAAATCCTCTACTATAGCCCACTGAGTCACAATAATTTAAGGTTACAATAATTAAACACTTTATCATTTAGACATTGTAATTATAAATGTATCTGTAACGAATTTCCAAGAGATGTATAAACTATAGAGTGCCACTAAACCACTATGATAATTAAAAATCGTCATTCTTTAAAAAAAGCAATATTTGATACAGTATTCCATGGTCCAGAATTGATGCCAACAGAAACAAAAATACAATGCTGAAACTTAACATTTTGAGTTTAAGCGGAAATTTGAAATTTTAATATAAATCAGATCAAATATGTTAATTCGGTAATAAATATTCAAACATTTTTTACTCCATAAATAAAAATGTCAATATTATTATGACAGGATTCAGCCTGGTAAATATAAATAAAATGATTCCACATTTAAAATAACCCAGTAAAAGAAGTATCTATTAGAGAATGCAATAACTACTTAGCCAGAAGTAACAGATTAAGGATAAAATGTTATGGTGGTTATTAAAAGTAAAAAAATCCAACAAGATATGAGAGGAAGAACAAGTACCTCATCTTTCTGTTGGGCTTGAGAATTCTTGTTTCCAACATCATCTTTTGGTAAAGATGCAGAAATGTTATGGGTTATAGACTTCTGCTTCTTGTGTGCTTTATTATTCCCAGACTTGGACTTTATAGGAGAAGGATTAGCAATTTTTTTGCCCTTTTCAGTTTTTTGCTTTTTCTGACTAGCACTGTCAGTAACAACTTTATTCTTCCTTTTCCTCACTTCTTCACCATTAGCAGCAATAGCAAGAACAAGTGTTTTTCTTAAAGGAGTCTTATTGTAAGATGAATCAGTCTTCCCCTCCAGATGTTCATCATTTGCTTCTAACTCAGTAACTTTAGAGAGAAATAAAACTTCCTTGCCTGGTGAAGTTGATTTCCTGTCTACAGGGGAGTCTGTTGGGGACAAGCTTGATTTCTTTTCATCAGCATCCACACATGACGAAGTTCCTTCCATAGGACTCCCAAGAGATGGGTCAATAGGTTTGTCACCACAAGTTTCATCAACTGAGGAAGACAACAATTTCTTTCCAAAGAATTTGACTCCCATAGTTGAAATAGATTTCCCTTTACTTGAGGACCTTTTCTTTGAAATAAGTTTACTTCCAAAAAGTCCAGAAACTTTTTCAAGGTTAAGTGAGTTAACTTGACCTTTTGATTTTGCAGGGACAATCTTTGTCCTTGCTCGTTTTGAAATTGAATCCAACTGGTTTATGGGCTTTAGTTGATCATTCCCTTCAAAGCAACTTGGACATTGCCACTTCCCATTAGGGATGCGCTTCAAGAGAGTAGATCACAAATGGTTGAAAGAAAATCAGATTAAAAGCACCCAAGAACCGAGACTTTGTAGTTGATAGAAAGCACAGCATCAGCATGAAACCAGATTTGAACATACCTTAAGAGGTGGATCAAGACATTGTAAATGATAAGTGCGAGGACAGCTATCACAGCACAGTAAGTTGCCACCAACATCGCAGATCACACATTCATAGTAATACTGGATCATAAGTTTCATCATGTCAAGTTAGAGCATCTAAGTGGAAAAAAAAAAATCCTAGACTGGAAGCATCCCAAAATATTCTTTATATAATAAATAAAATATTATTAATGAAGAAAAGAAGTACGAAAATTGGAGACACAGAAAAACAATGCAACTAGAAAATAAAATAAAAGAATATTATTGAGATGACAATGACATCCAAATCCAATCCCATTGCATATATTCCAAAGATATTTTACTAGAAGAGATTGTGAGTATAACAGTACAAAGACAGAAAGGACAATACATCCTCTAAAAGGTAACAAGAAAGACTAGACAAATAAAATAACATCGGAAAAGCAAGCTGTGGGAAATCAAATAGTATTTTATGAAAGAATAAATGAGAAAATTTGTAATATGTACAGATTTGAACAATTAGGAACAATCCCATAAATCAAGGGATTCTAGAATAAAATAGAATTATTATGTTTCTTAAAATAGTTTATGTCTCCTGTATATATCTTGTATGATCTCTTTGTATTAAAATAATAAAATAAGATTTCATTTAATCTAATTTTCCATATGGTATCGAAGTCAAAGCCTAACATTTTTCCGGTTATTGTCATGAGCCAAAAGTTACCCTTTTGTTGGGTCAAAAATACCCTTTGTCTGGTCCGGCAGGCTTTGTTGGAGGGAGCGTGTTGAAAGTCTCACATCGTTTATCTCATGTCATTTGGTATGATTTAAATACATGTTAGGCTACTCCACATATAGCCAATTGGTTTTATGTTGGAACCTTAACAAGGTATCATACAATGGGCCTATTTGGGTAAACTTCTCTATAAGTTCTTTTAGGGAAAGGAAAAAATGAAATAAACTTCTCCATAAACTTAAACAATTTTTCCTTCTTATTTTCTTCTCCTACAAGTGGTTATAGAGAAATTCATTGAAATAGCCCCTACATATAATTAGACAAAGAGACCTTTATTGAACCCATATGTTCAACTCCAAAAACCAAGCACAATTTTTCCCAGATAAGAGGCAGCAGACTATACTTCTTCAAATATTTTTTTCATGTCATTCCTAATCAATATGAAACAAATGCATACATTTAACACATACATCTTAACTAAATCTGCCAAGCCACCAGACATCGGCTAAGTGTATCAGGACATTTGAGCAACATGATACATTCCAATACAAATTAGAGAATATGTTGAATTCTGCATATCTAGGTAGCAAATTGATCACATTTAAAAATTTTATTACAATCAATTAAGAAGCAATCTATATCTATATCTACACACATGCAAATACCTAGAACAGCAAATCTAACATTCCTTTTCAAGCTAGAGCACGTATAATGTATCTGCTAAGCTTGTTATGAGTAAAATCAATCCAAAGCCCTCTGTGTGACTAGGTAAATAAGTCTGGTAGTTGATTTCAGGTGGTGGCAAATGTAGGTTCCAGATCTTTATTTCTCTGATGTGAAACTAGAAAATTGTCGGAAGTAGCTCCATTTGGTCTCATTAAAGCCAATAAAAAATAAAATAAAAATACTAATCTCAAACGGAGAAAGAAAATAAAGTTGCAGACGTATACTTGGGCATTAGTTTTGGTCTTGAAAGGTGCTTCATCCAATGAAGGGGTAACTCAAGTTCTGTGTAAAGGCTATAAATAATTTTGGCACATTTCTATACAAAAATTGTGAAACTGCTTCCATGGCTAACTTCAGGGAGTAAACTCAGCAGCGAGAAAATGGTAGTTGCCACACTTAAAGCTACGGTTGCTGATACCGGAGAGAAGGTACTTTGCACACCCACTTCAGAAGAGGCTTACATGGCAATGCAAAACAAATTGCACGATTCTTAAAAGTTTTAGAAGTCTGAACTCTGAAGATAAATTCTGAATTCAGTATTCCAGGTCTTAAAAGCATCTTTGATGCCTCCAGAATCATTGTCAGAGGGGGCAGCAGTTTGAATGTGCTTCTAGTTGTACTTGATCCCAAGACCTAAATGATGGAGCTGCTGTTATCATTCAGCAAAGGAATCACACTATTACCACTTGGAATCCCACTGCCTCCTGCACCTCAAAGTAAATAGAAGACATTGAGTATGCTGAACTTAAGTACATGAGTAGAGGACTATCTAGAACAATGATTTTGGGCTAGTCAATGGAAGAACCAGCTGCAGAATACGCCTCGCACTCCCTTGTGCACCATTGAGGCATGATTGGTCAGATTTCAGTAACTCACATGTGGTGACACATCACATGACCATTAGCAGCAGTCTTCCAATAGTTGAGTAATTTGAGGAAAGCAAACAAAATAGTTGAATCATTCAGAGTGAAAAAAACACTCATTATGTGAAGGTACAGTAATAGCCAAACACTCATGAAATGATTGAAAAAAACAAGCTTAACCACTAATTAACTGAGGAAACGGAAACTTCAAACAGCTGCACCTAGGGTTCAAAGTAAGGTTCCCGGGGCTAGAATTAGTTCACAGTTAAGGGAAAGTAAGAACGTCAAAACAACACTGTGAAAGAGTTTGATAGTTTTCGGAGTGGAATAGAGTAAGTGTATGTCACAGAGAAAAATATTGCTTTCATACCATGAGAAAATTTAGAGTATGCTAAATAATGTGTATCTAGGTTGAACTCTGATCTCTTGATTAACATAATAGCAATCAAAAGATGAGCTGAATTATTAGCTGATTTGCAATCAATTAGTAACATATTTACATCAATCATCGAAGTTTTAGTTTTAGACAAGCTAAATCTAACACTTCTTGTTATTTTTAATTACAAGCAGCAATAATCACATCGCTTATCCCCTTTCAGACATCAGATAGCCCCTCAAAGGTGAAGTTGACACAGCAAACATGAGAACAAAGGAATGTAGCAACAATTGTCTAGACTCAAACAAGATAGAAAACGAAGACAGGAAATGATATATACTACGAAATATTCAAATTATCAAAATTAACACTCTAATTGGGCCGAGGATTACAACCACTATTTATTATAATAAAACATTTGCTACCAAAAGGAAAGAACAAATAAAAGGCTAACATAATCCTATGACATTATAAATTTTAAATTTCAAAATTATAATAAAATCTAGATTCCAAAGGGGCAGCATAATACTATAATATCCTAAATTAAAATAAATAGGCTAAAATGTGTTGGAATATACCCTACATTAAGCATTATACATTTTGAGAACCCACAATCAATTTCCTTCAAATATCTATATCTCCAGATTATTCTCGGTCAGAAATCATTTTAATTTAAACTGAATTGGTAACACAATATTGGTTTCAAGTCAGTGGTACACACAAAACTATCTATCCCAATATCTTAATTCTGTGGTCCTCTAATTGGGAGATGTGCAGCCATTCATTCTCCCATCATCCAGCTGCTAGATATTTGCAGTATAGACTCTTCGATATTGTTGATAATGGTGTATATGCATTGTCCATAAGCCAGAACTTTTGAGAACTTCCTCACATGTCATTTCAGTGATTTTGGGAGAAGTAAAAATGGAAAGGCACCTACGAATGTGTTGTTTTTGTCATTATTAGGTACTATAAGATGGAGTCAAATGCCACAAATTCTAGGGACAACCATATTCACCCAGTCCTTTTCAAATGGTATTACTTTTGGGAATAACTGCGCCCAGTGTTATTAAAACCAGACCAGTATCAACCCGGTCAAGTCATTGGGTCAGTGGTTTGAACCAGTGTGTGACTTCTCAACTCAAGCAGTCTGAGACAGACATAGGCCAGGATGCCCAGCTTGCAGTTAAAGTGCCAGAACACATAGGGTAATGGGCAGAAGTGCAGAGCGACAAAAATATTGTTTCCAACTGAACGAGACAAGGCCAAGTCACCAGTTTTATCCTAATTCATAACCAAGTTAATAACGTCATCCTGAGTCACATGCATTCCAAATCTTATATAATGACCGGGCCAGATAAAACTACGGTTTCCAGTTAAACCAGTCAGACCAGCCAGTCCAGTCCGAGTTTAATAACATTGACTACATTAATGTCTGGTATTTCTTACATCTATTGTTCTATATTTTATCCATCTGTTTTACTTTTCAAGGATGTGTCCTGACTGCTGCAATAATCCATTCTCATCAATAAAATTTCTATTCTAACAAATTATTTCACACAAATTATCATAGGTTAGATGCCACAAGCAATGATGTACTTAATTCTGACTCTTCATAAGCTGGGCTTCCAACATCCACTCTTTATATTAAAGAGATTAGGTAAGTTTTCTAAATGTAAAATTGGGCTCATAAAAGGTAACTCACCCCATCATTTCCTTTCTTCTTAGATGAAATTTGATCTGTAGCTACTTCAGTCTTTAGCGCACGTTTAGCTGAAGCATTTCTAGAAGATTCAGATGTTAGTGAATTTTCTTCTTTACTGTTGGATTGCTCTTTAGCAGAGGACTGATCGGGCCCAAAAGGAAGCTTTCTTCGCTTACGCTTTAAAACCCAGTTCCTGTTAAGCATTTTAGGCACTGCTGATTTGTTTTCCTTCATTGATCATATATGCATCCTGCATAAGCAATCAACACTTCAACCATGAGAAAAATGAAAATCCAGAGCCTTATAGCTTATAAAACAGCATTAAACATACACACAGAACAATTACAGGAAAGTACTACAAGCAAATAACGTGGAAATAAGACAAAAAATAGTATTGAGCAATAACTAAATATTAAAGAAGGCCTGGTGATCAACAGTTTTTCTCATAATAACTGTAAGCAAAGTTCAACCATCAGCAAAAAAAATATTTTAGGAATGTGCCAACTAGAGAAACATTTTTTTAATATATTCAAAGCTGTGCTCTTTTAGATAAATAAAGAATTTATTAAAAAATAACGAAGAGATACAAATGCAAGTAGATAAGAAATCCTCAAAAAACTGAAAACTACACACAGAGAAAGAAAAAAAAAAAAAAAAACATTAGACTAATAACATTCAATATGTAGCACACACAATATGCCAATCTCTCTAATGTTCTTTCAAAGATATTCCCTTAAAAAGACCTTTGGCATAACACGCAAATAAGCTAACATGCATTCAATTTTTTAAAAAAGATATGTAATCCTCATTCTCTATTCACCATACCATCGACATTATTCCTGATCACCTAATATCGCTCAACATGGGAAGCATGCAGATAAGATTCAAGAGAGAATAGGATACCACATTTCGTAATCACCCTCAGCAGGATTCAAAATATCAAGGTTTCATTTCAATCTATTCTTCTTTCCCTAAATGCAATCACCATAAACTGCCTCTTATTTAAGTATCCATCAGCAGGATGGACAAAGTTCGCCTCCTCTTTGAAAACCAAACTAGCATAAAAAGAATTGTCTCAAAAGGAAAGGATTGATGGTAGCTACAGGGGAATCAGTCTAATAAGTTAGCCTTGGGTTGAAGCTTCAAAATTCATGTTCAACACATAGTTAAAATAGATGGGCTTTGATTATAGTCCTGCAATCTTATCATAGGTTCACCGACATCACAATAAATTATATGCATAATTTGTTGATTTGAGGTTTTAACTCCCTATCAGACTTATTCCAAGATCTAACAAACTTGGAAAAACTAGCCTACCTAAATCTTGAGATAGGCCTTAGGTAAAACTGAAACCCAGGCAGGCAGTTGAAGTGAATAACATGATTGCTGCTGATAGAAAAGTAATTTCTAACCTGCCACTTGCTAAGGCAATTAGCCCAGTGAATGCAAAATCAATTGCCTCAGCAAAATTGTGTGTGTGTGGCTCGAAATCATGTTAACATCAGGTAGCAAGGTTTATCAAAGAATGTAGCAATTAAAAAAGCAAGCAATAGTTCATGATGTACAACTTCACAACAACTATCAAGCCTTTTACACTTAAGAATTATAATTTCAGGACCAAACAAATAAACTCTACCCCCATCCCCGAGAAAAATATAAAACAAAAGCCATAAAACGTATTCAAGGATAGATTACCATGAATAACAGCATTATCTTCTACTATGGAAAGTTAGAAACATCTAATCAATATCATACCAATCCTGACCTAAATGTTAGCATTCGTTAGTCCCCAATACGCAACCACATTCATAACAAGCGAAAAAGGCATCCAAGAATAAGACATGCCATTTCCCCCAAAAATTAATACAAGGCCACACAATGATAAATTTCCTCAGATTCTGTAGATTCCGAACTTAATTGATATATACATTCATTCCTCAATCTAAACAAGATCAGATTATTCAATCAGCATAGACAGACTACTACCACGTAAAAATTATTAACCATACTGAATCTGAAGAATCATACACAATCTCCATCAAAGGTAAGAAAGCAGCAGCATACACAATCAACAGCAAGTCAGAGTATGTCACAGCACCCACAAACAATAAATACAACCAAAGCCACCAATCTACAGCCAACATCTGGTGAAGCATTCCGCACATTCAACTCACACAAAAACCCTCAAGTCCCTTGGAGGAACAAGTGGAGTCAGAAAGCAGAACAAATTCCAAGTAACAATCCTGCTCATTGAACCAACAAAATCTGCAAGGTGGAACCACAATCACATGCCAAGTAGCTTGAGAATCAAGGGACTCAACTCACACATAAACAAAAGACCCAACTGAAATTAAACATGAACAAGAGGCAAACACAAAACCCCAGAAGCCAAATTCGAGCAAAAAGGACAAAGGAAGAGCAAAGAAGGGAAATTGAGAAGCATACCAGGCTGGGCTACGGATCAAATAGTAGCACGGTGAAGGATTGCATGAGAGGGAAAAGGGGAAAGTGGAGAAAAGGGAGAGAAGGTATTAGGGCATGGATGCAAGGAGATGAGAGATACGAGGAGAGAGAGAGAAAGAGGGCAGACAAATGAATAAATAGAGAGAGAAAAAGAGATAGCTGTTGTTGTTGTTTGTTGATGTTGTCATGTAGAGAGAGAAAGAGTGGTAGAGAGAGAAAGACACACAAATACGGATTCGCCGGGGTCATAGGACGGGGTTACTCTCTGACATGGCAGGAGAGAGAGAGTTGTTGTGCTCTCTCTTCCTCTTTGTTGAAACCCCCAAACCACTCTTCCACTCTAACCATGCCACGTGGCACCGCCACCAGCCTTTGCCTTTCTTCTTGCATTCTCCTTCTCCCCCTCAAAACTCATTCTCTTTCTGCTTCATTCTCTCCATCACCCATCTCAGGGTGTTTCCATACAAAAATTTTGACTCCACATTCCAACTTTCTCACTTTTCTTATTCACAAACCATAAACTTCAAAATCAAACCTTACTCGCCTATCTTAACCAAGTCCCACATCAATTATTATCAAATTTTCAAATTTGAAGATACTTTAAAAAGAAAATATATCAGCAAAATAATCTTATCTTGTATATTACAAGAGATAAACTAAATTATCTCTAATTTAAGATATCCCTCAAGATTATTATAGATAGTAAATCTCTCTCAACTTAATATCCAAAACTTAAATTAGAAACCACTAAGTCAGTTTATTCAAAGTAAATGTTTTTCATTGTTTACTTATGTGTCTTTGAATCATAATGTTGTTGTTAATTAATTTTTTAATTAGGAAAATCTATTTTAAACCGTCAATTAATCCCTGAGTTAAACGATATTCAACTGAGTTAAGGCTCAGAAACCAACAACGATTTGTGTTTGTGTGGTAGTCTCAGAAACCAACAACGACCAGTGTTTGTGTGTTAAGTCTCAGGAACCAACAACGATCCGTGTTTGTGTTTTTTCAAAATGATTTTATCCCTTTCAGTGTAACTGCTTATCCAGATAAATGTAAACGCGTTGCAACTCACTTTATTGCAAGACTTTCATTAATTATTATATTTTCAAAATATAATAATCTAATTACAGTGTATTTAACGTTCAATTTAATTACAAGTTATGATTATTAAACTTTTATTAATAAAACTATATTTGTCTCTCTACCAAGGAATTATAGGTAAAATAATATAACCATTTTCATTGTTTGTATTGAAATGCTTCATAAAATCATTTAAAATATGTCAATTTTTAACTAAATATAGGGTTTAATCTATTGGAAGTATGTTAAATACTACATAGTCATAATAAGTATATATTTTTTTAAAAGATAAATTTAATAATTGTTAAACATAATTATAACATTGAATAATAAATGATCATGAAAAAAATATTAAGTAGTCAAAATTAAATTCTTGTCATTGTTTCCTTTCTAAATTATTTAAAATATCATTAAATGAATTATAAGTAATGAAATTAACGCTTAATTAAGTTTTTCTTTTAATTTTCTTACAATATCATTAAACCAATTATAAGTAATGAAATTAATGCTTAATTAATTTTTTCATTTAAATTGTTTTTTATTTAAGGGATTATTTATGATAAGACAAAACTTAAAAAATATAATAGAATAAAATAAAATCCTGTGAACACAGTATATGGGATGCAAACAAAATAGAAATATATTTTAGATCCTTCCAAGAGATATATTTCTCTACTAAAAGATTTATAAAATAATTATCAAAATATTTTTAAAGAAAAATAATAATGAAATTTAAAATATTCAAAATATGAAATTCTTGTCGTGTCTTATTTCACTTGTTTTAAAATATGCTAAATCTTTTAAAAACTTTCACTTTTACTTTATTTACTTCTCAAATAATAAAGATTTTTAGACATTAAATAACACTTTAATTATTTGTTTGGTTTCTATAACATCAGTATTAATGACTAATATTGTAAACCTTAATATTAATTTTCGTACACTAATTAATTGTATTTCTATGTTATATTTTTTTCTTCCTTTAGTGTTTTTTTTCTTTCAAAGGGAAGTCTATATGACATAAATCAAACTTCTATTAAGAAAATAATTAAATCAAATAAATAGTGTAATTAAATGCTTTAAATGGTCTATAAAAAATATAAAAAATATTGTGTTAATTTTATAAATAGTATAATTAAATGTTTTAACAGGTTTTTAGAAAATAATAATATAAAAATGATTGTGCTTTTTTATACGTTATAATTTTAATTATTTTAGTTCCCTCCACATCTATTTTGAAGCTTTAGAGATTTTTTTCTAGAGTTCTTAGAAATTGAAATGCATTATTCTAAAATTGCTTAAAATAAGTTAGAATTATTTAAAACGGATTAAAATTGTATAAAATAGGATATAGTTTAAGTAACTCTTACATTAAAATAATATATTTTATTAATAAAAACTCTTATAAAAACATTTTATTACATACAAATTATTATTATTATTATTATTATTATTATTATTATTATTACTGTTATCATTAATATTATTACTATCTTTATTACAACTGTTTTTTTTTTTCTCAACTTTGTAGACATGACTCACTTCACTTGCTCCTTATGTCCATTCATTATGCATATCACACTTTTTGTCTTTCATTTTGATACTACTTTTAAATATATAAATAACTATAATTTCATATTATTTATATATATATATATATATATATATATATATATTATTTTTGATAAAAAATAACATTACATTATAAAAAATAAAAAACAAAAGTATATTTTATATATAAGAAAGATTATTATATCATCTTATAATATATTATGGCTGTTTTTTTTAATATGTTTTTTCTAGTTAAATAATTAATGTTTAATTAATAAATAAATAATATATAAAATAACTTTATTTTTTCATAATTGTCTTTTATTTTAAATATGTCGCTTTATACTATCATTGGATGTAATATATTCCTTACATATATAAATTAAATAATATTTGATCATAACATAAAAGAGACCAAAATGTATTTGACTCTTTACATGAGTTTTGTTTTAAATAAAAATATCTTTGAGATTTCAAGTTACCTTTTAGAATCTAATTTTAATTGATTTAAATTTTAGAACTAAATTAAAATCTCCATATATACTTTAGAGGACCTTCTTCCTATTTTTATTATACATTTATAATGTTTAAAAATTAATTCATTTAATAATTTTCAAAATTATTTATTGAATGAGGAATAACAATAAAAAAATTGAAACTAATATAAATATTAAATTCTTAATTATTTCGTTACTGAGTTAGAATATTATTAAATAAAGAATAAGTAATGAAACTAATAGTTATTTATATTATCAATGCAAAAGACTTACAGAAGAAAAAAAATATAAAACAGTAATAGAATTATACCATTTACTTCTACAGTCAAATATAGAATGAATATCATAAATATTCTATTTAAAAAAATATATACTTAAATGAAATATTTATTAATTTATTTAATAAATTAGATCTGCATTTAATAATTCTTCTTCCTATTCGCTTATTTATTTATTTATTTATTTTTATTTTTTATTCACTCCTTATTTTATTAATTTTTATGGTTTATTTTTTCTTCTTTCTTTCTTCCTATTTATTCTTTCAATTAAAAAAATTAGATTTTAAATTTAATAAAAATATATTAATTTTTTTAATTTGCATTGAAATTAAAAAAGATATAAATTAATTATTTAAACGATAGTAAATTTTATTTATGATAATAATAAGTATTTAATTTAAAATTATTTTATCATAATAAGTTAATTACTCATTTAATTAAAAAATATTAAATATTTATAAATTAATTTTATTTTTTATTTAATAATTTAATATAGTTATAATTAGATTATATTATTATGATTAGTCGAATTAAATATTTTTAAAAAAAATATATTTAATAAAAATACTTTAAAATAAATATCTTATTATTTTTAATATTTATTTTTATAAAATAATATTTTAATATGTTTTTATCAATTTTTAATATAGTAATTTTAAGGTAAAAAAAGTGAAAAAAAAGAGAAATAAAGAAAAGAGAAAAAAAGGCCATGAACGAAGAAAAAGAAAGAATAACTGTTTTCTTACAGAAAATTTGATCCTCGCAATTATATGTATGAATATTACAAAAATATAATTAGATAAATAAATTAATAACAATTTTATTTGAATAATATTTTTTAAAAATATATTATTTATGGCAGATCAATTATAACCAGAATAAATTTTACAATTTAATATACTCCAACGAGCAATTAAAACAACTTGTAACAATATCTAACACAAACGAAATTTTTAAATTCGATTTATCTAACCTCTCTCTATACATATTAAAAAAATAATATTAAGTATTTTCTTTTTCTATTTACACATGAAAAAAACGTAAAGTAATAAATATAAAATAATAAACGATTACGAGAGAAATTGAATAAATAAGCTAATAAAATAAAAACATTAATCATTATTATTTTCACTTTTATATAGAAAAATAAAAAATAAATATGTAATTTTTTATTTTATTTTAAAATGGTTTTTTTCCTTTTCATCTTGTATTTATTATATTGTTTACTATTTTTTCTATATGCTCTATAGATTTATAAGAAGAAAATAATAACAATGTGATTGTACTCCAAAATAATCTATAATTTAATTTTACTTTTCTAAATTTTTTTATTAGAAAGTGCTAATATTTTTTTTCATTAATAATGATACAAATGAATAAAGTTTTTACATTTTTTTAATTATTATTATTATTATTATATTTTCTAATTTGGTTTTTATTTTTAAATTAGGTGAAATATCTTTTAAAAGAAAAATATCTGTTAATTTGTTTTTTCTAGTAGAGTTATTTAGTTTTTCTTCTTTTCTTATAATTTTTTTTTCTCTTACCTTATTTACTCCATATTTTATTTTATTTTAAATATATTACTTTTATTTATCTATTTTCACTTATTCTCTTATTTAAACTACTATATTAAAATTTAATAAAATATGTTAAAATAAATATTTTAAAATCAATAATAAAACTAAAAAAAGTTATTAATTAATTATTTAAAATTATGATTATATTAAATAATTTTATTTATTTTGATAAAATAATTTTATTTATGATAACATAAATAATTTTTTTTAACTATTTTATCATAATAAATAATTACTTATTTAATTAAAATATATAAAATATTTACGAGTTAAATGTATTTTTACTTAATAATTTAATCTAGTTATAATTACCTTGAGTTATAGTAATTAATTAGATTAGGTAATTTAAAAAAATATATATTAAAAATTTACTTTCAAATAAATATTTATTTTTTTTAATAATTATAACAAAATAATAATCATTATAACATCTCAAAATATAATATATTAAATTATATTATTTATAAATCATTTGAATATTTTTTTAATAATAATAAAAATTTTACTTTATCAGAATTTAATTTATTATTTTTAATTAAAAACCAAGAAAAAAATAAAAAAAGAAAAAAAAACACTAAGTAAAGAAAACAATAATAATAAAAAGTAAATGAAAAAAAAAAATAAAGAAAAAGAAAAAAATTTGTATTATCTCAGACAAATTTATTCGTCTTTATTAAATTTTATGTATAAATAATAAACCAGTTTAGATAAATAAATTTAAAGAGATTTTATGTTAAGTAATTTTTTAAAAATATATTATTTATAATATTAATTCAAAAATTACAGGAAAGTGAAAATAAATAAGAAGAAAGTGTTAATAATGAAGAGAAAAGTTTGAATAAATAAACTAAATTAATTAATGCTCTTATCTTGTCTTTAAGTCATGTTCGTCAACAATTTTAAATTATAAGAATTTAATAAAAACATGTTTTAAAATATTTACACAACCACTTTTTATCATATTTAATTATATATATCAGTTAAGAATTATACGAAATAAATGAAGAAGAAGACCTTCTTTAAACCCTAAATCAAACACAAACACTAATATACGTATGGAAATCATTAATATATCAATGATTTTATATAATAAATGTGTCAATTCATGTTTATAGATGCATTACATAACTTAATTCAAACTAACTTGTAATTTGGTTGTGTTGAACCCATTTTTGCAGAGTCGGAAATTCTAAACTAACCCTTCACAGGTTGGGTTAATCTATTAATCTTCTTAAAAAAAAAATTAAAATATATATATATATATATATATATATATATATATATATATATTATAAACAAATGTTTTCAAGTTTTATAATAAATATAGTTAAAATGGTTAAAAAACTTTATCAAACTTGTAAAGAAATGAAATAATTAACATATTATCATAAAATATAAGTATTGAATGTAATTTAAAGAAAAAAGTGGCAGCCTCAAAGTCAAATTAAAATAACCTAAGTTTGGTAGGTTGAAATATGCAACCCAATCTTAATTAAATGAACTAAATTACAAAAAAAAATACTAAATGGGAGGGAGGTTGAATAGTCTATTAGTGTAAAAATGAAAACCTCAACGGATTTTGAAATTATTTGAAAAAAATATAAGTTGACTTTATATTGCATCCAAGGTTTTCTAAAAATGTTGTAGGAAAAATGTAGATAAGAATAACTTGTGCAGACCATAAGGATTTGAGTTACCTTTAATAAGAGTTATCCAAATGGAACATTCGATCCAATTTAATTTAACCATAAAGTCAAAAAAATTATGAATTAACATAATTTATATTTTAAACTAATTATAATTTGTTGTTTGACTTTTATAAAATAATAACATATCTAAATAAAAAATAATTTAAAAAATATAAAAATTATTTTAAAATAAAAATTAAAAAATATACTAAAAATTTAAGTTATATTAATGAAAGTAAATTTTATTTTAAATATAAAAATTTAATATAAAAATTATAAAAAAAATATTCATTCGCTATTTAAACAAGAGTTAAAAATTTGTTTTTTATTATCATTATTAATTTTCTAATACTCTAATGATATAAAATATATTTATATAATTATATCTTATATTAAATGGGTATGAAAGATTTATTATTATAGTTACTTTTTATAATAACTATATATTTTATCATATTAATTTAATATATATATATATATATATATATATAATTTTTAATAAAATAATATTATTTGATTTTTATATAAAAATAAATATTATTTTATAAACGGATCTGATTGACTAATTTAAGAACTACATGTAATATTAAGATGAATTAATATAATTTTTTTTATTTGTTTCAGAAAAGATTTTTAAATTCACCTAAGATACAACTCAACCACTTGTTGAGTGTGTTTTTCTTATTCTACAAAATATAAGTATGTATTATAATGCTAGAAAATCACTGTGTAAAGAGATTTGTTTGTTCATAATAGGACAATACTTTTTTTAGTTTAGATTCTTTGAGATAAATTGTGTTGTTTCCTCTTTCATGTTGTTTGTATAATATGTTATAAATTCCTCATGTTATCATGTTATACCATCTAATTAATGGGTGTTCAATTAGCATATCCTCTAATGAGTACTTAACTATTAAATTGGGTAATAAGTATAATTGTGTTAACAAAATTTTGATTTAGTTTAGATTATTTGAGAGAGCAAAGGACAACCTATTTAATATTTTGTATTATGTCAAACTTAAGTGTTTCATTTTTTAAATATTTTTTATGAGATTTTTTATTAATTTATATATTTGAAGTATTATTTATTTTGTAGTTGTCTTTATTATAATTTTAAAACGTCTTATTAAAAATAATATAAATTATAATTGATTTTGACTCTAAATAATATAATATTTTATGAATATGTTGAAACATGATATATTATTTTTATTTATTATTGGGTTTGAATTAAGTAAATTGACATATTTTTTTATATTTCTTTGAAAATGAAAAAAAGGGTAATAAGTGGATGGATATTTATATTAATCTTTTTATCCAAATTAATAATCTATACCTTTTATATAAATTTATTTTTCTGTAATATTTTTTCATCTTTCAATCAACATAACTTAATAGAAAAAACATAAAAATAGAGATTGAGATAATAAATTCATATTAAAAGATTAATACTGTTCAAACGTTTTCTAAAAAAATATATAACTGTTAAAAATATAAATAACTTAATTTTTAATTTTATTTCGTTGTTATTTTGAAAATTTTGGTCCACTTTGAAAAAGTGACTCAACTTCAATTAAACTCTTCATTGGTAAAATAGAAAAAGTGAAAAAGAAATATATAAAATTGCAGAGTAAAAAAAAGGAATATATATTATGAGAAAAATAGTTGTAATTATTTAGGTTAAAACAGATACGTAGATCAGTAGATCTGAATTGTCCAAAACTCGGTACAGTCATCACTCAGTTTCAAAATTCTTCTTCTTTGTTTGGGTCATGGCAATTTGTCCCTCACCATCGTCCTCTTCTTCTTCGTCGTCTTTTGGTTCTTCAACCAGCGCAAAGGCGTGGATTGTTCATGGAATTGTGGCGGGAGTTGCAATTGCAGCTGCGTTGGGTGCACGCGCTTACATGACCCGACTCAACAAGTTTCGGAGCCGGGTCCTGGGCATCATACCCGCTCGATTCGCCTCTTCTCGATTTCAGGGAAAGCCTCTTGCTCAAATCCTTGGCAAGCCCATGATCCAGGTCCACTCCTCGACTCTCTCTTCTTGATTTTTTATTTATTTTTTAATTTAACTTATGTAATTATATGCATACGTAAAAAAGAAAAAGAAAATTACAGTTAAAAATATAGTTGTTTGTGATGAATTTTACTTAAAAAAGATTTTAAATTGACAATACATACGCTGTTTACTCTTGCATCAATTAATGAAATCTGAAAAGTGCAGAGGGTCAGTTTTATCTGATAATGATAATTTTCTAAACTGTAAGTCAAAAGTACAGGCTCTGGATCCTCAACCATATACTGAGTCTCACATTGATAAACTACTTGGCTTGGTATTTAAGTCTTGAATTTCTCCTACTTGTCTTTTTTGTTGGGCACTCGTTTAAGTTCTGACAACTGGTGTTTTCATCGAGTGGACTATGAAAAGGACTTTCAACAAGCTGGATTAAGATGGATAGAATGAAAGTCCTTATAGACATAGACCCTTAATATGGTGGCAATGTTAGGAGTTCCTTGTTGAGTAAGATAAGCTACTTACTTGATGTGGTACTTAAGCTTGAGTTTCTTCCACCCAATGGACTAGTTTTTCGGATTGAACTCTCCTCTTGGCCTTTAAGTGTTAACATTCTCAGTGATAGCTTTTATAGGTGAATTGAAGGTGAAGATTAAGTTAAATGAATGGCAACATTGGACACATGCATACAACTCACTGTATTTAAACTCTTGTCTGATGCTTTCTGAGCGTGATTCAAGTCCATAATTTGAAGAGAAAACAAGAGAAATGATTAAAAGAAAAGCTTGAATCAATACTCAGCACGTAGGATTAACTCTTTTCTGGTTACTAATTAAGATAAGTACGTTAAGTGTAAACCCACGTAAGAGTCATTATTATAGTCTACTGGCCTCGTTTTGTTAATGTGCGAGTATGATTTTCTTTTACGTCTCTCAACCATTGTACTTGCACCACTTGAATATTTCTCTCACAACTAAGTAAATACTTTGTATAATATAGTAGCCTGTTGGGACGAGTTTCCTCATAAAGATTTTTAGGATAGAAAAGTATGAAGTAAAAAAAATCATTGGCATCTCCAAATTTTTATTTTTAATGTGTGCATAAGCTAATTTTAGCTTATGGAAAAGTCAATTTCGTTTTTTTCTTCATATTTTTCTCTTCTAGAAGACTTTATGGAGAAGCTCTTCCAAATAGTCCCATAATTTATTAGAAAATTTCACTTGACTTCTTGGCAATATATTCCCAGCGCCTATTTCTCTCCATTGGTCAAATTATGATATATTTTACCTTATTTGGGGTTTACAGAGAACATGGGAAAGGGCAAAGCTGGCAGCTACATTGGATCATGTTGGTAGGTCTATATGTGTGTCTAATATGTGTTGCTTTTGAAAGGGTGTTTCACAGACACAACAACTTACGCACAAACACATCCTAGGAATGGACAAGTAAATGATATTACATTTCATTCCACTTTTTACTGTTTCTGCATGTGTTCATGCATGTAAAACCTCTTGTTGGTCTTTTGAAGGTAACATTTTAAATGTTTCCAAGATCTACTCACGTTGTATTGCTTTCCTTCATGAACTTCTAGACAAATTAACCAAAGAACATCATGATTTAGTCTGGGTTGTAATATAGGCAGATTTTGTGCACTCCTTATGCACTTTGTCTGGTGTTTTCATATTAAGAAAATGAAGTAGTAGACAGTTTTACAATTTGGTAGATGCATACATGCATTTGCACATCTATCTAGCTAGCTTCTGTGATATCTGATGGTAATTTTGTCTGGTTCTAGTTGTAGCAACTGATGATGAAAGGATAGCTCACTGCTGTCAACAATTTGGAGCTGATGTTATTATGACATCAGAATCTTGCAGAAATGGTAAGGAATTGGTTTCTTTTGTATTGTAGCCATTCAAAGCTTTTTTATTCACAATATTTCATACTCTTTATTTTGCTCGATAGGTACTGAGCGCTGCAATGAAGCCCTACAAAAGCTTGGGAAAAAATATGATATTGTTGTCAACATTCAGGGTGATGAACCACTTATTGAACCTGAAATAATAGATGGTGTTGTGAAAGCTTTGCAGGTAAGTTCTTTTGATCTTAAATTTATTATTTTCATACCATTGAACATGTAAGTAATGTTCCATTGCCGAAAATTTTAATGATAGCCTGCTTTAGCTGTGATCATTATGTTAGGAACTAGGAATTGAAAAGAGATAGAAAAGAACACGAAATAGGAGAACACTCTATCCTCCAAGGGTTTCCTCTTCACAAATTTTCCTTTCACAAAGAGCTAATGTTAATCTACAAAAATAAACCTCCCCCCTCTTTCCCCATACAAACCTCCCTTAACTCATTAACCCCCTAACTAACTAATCAATATCCTATCAGTATCAACTAATTCTCCTTTCTGGTAGTCCTAACAAGATCAACCCTCCTTAAAAACAACCTTGTCCTCTAGGCTGAAACAACCATTGACAACAGACAAATTTCAAGTTATTGTTTCCCCAAAATCTACTCATGCAGTACCCATTCTGCATCTTTTGAGCAAACTTCCAGTGGAATTTTCAGTCAACTAAATCACATTGCAGCCCCTCATTGGTTTTCCATTGTTTGCAATATTTGTTAGGCCAAGTGTTCTCTTGAATTGGATGACTGCAATTTGACCGTAACTTGAGTTCAGTGAGTGTTGTATGAGACCAGTTGTTTGAGTTAGAAACAAAGATTCAATTCGAGCCAATGGGAGGTCTCCAAATTGAAACATTGGATGGTCTTTGATGGTGAACTCTTAAAGAACCAACTTTGCATCTCTATTGTTATTGTATTGAAGGAATAGAGATTCCAAATTTGAGGCCATGCAGGTATCCTCATATTAAAAAAAATGAAATAGAAAAATTGGTGGTAAATATGTTACTTTTGGGTATTATAAGGCCAAGTATAAGTCCCTACTCTAATCCAATTATCATTGTGAGAAAGAAGGATGGAGGTTTTTGTAGACTGCAGAGCATTAAACAAAATCACAGTTTCAGATAAGTTTCCAATTCTAATAATTGATGGGTTGTTGGATGAAGTATGGGGAGCCATTATATTCTCCAAATTGAACCTTAAATCCGGATACCGTAAAATAAGTATTGTAACTATATGGCCAATAGGAAATATTACTATATATCTTTGATTGTTGGATTTATAATTATGTTTTATTCCTTTGTATTATCTGTCCTGAATCCTGATCCTTGAAGGCAGCTCCAGATGCAGTGTTCAGCACTGCAGTCACATCTTTAAAGCCTGACGATGCTCATGATCCAAATAGAGTGAAATGTGTGGTAGATAATCGTGGTTATGCCATCTATTTTTCACGAGGATTAATCCCATTCAACAAGTAATTTACAAATAATTAACGTTCAGATTTCTCATCTTAATTGTTCCTTCTTTCACAAAACATATTGTGAAATTGTTATGCATATTTTTGTAAAACTGGATAAATGCTTGCATACGTACTGTAGGTCAGGGAAGGTCAATCAACAGTTCCCGTATTTGCTTCATCTTGGGATTCAGGTATATCGGTAAATTCTTTCTATTTTTCTGTAATAACAATCGTTGCTTGTTGTTCATTTGTCTGTTATACGGTTACTATTATCTGCTTCATCGTGAGTTAATAGTTTTTCTGTCTATGCATCTGCCAGAGCTATGATGCAAAGTTTCTAGAGATATACCCTGATCTTCAACCTACTCCTTTGCAACTAGAGGAGGATTTGGAGCAGCTTAAAGTCCTTGAGAATGGCTACAAGATGAAGGTACCTAAGTTATTTATATAGGCCGTCATTTATCATTATTCCACTTAGGTGCAAGTTTTTTACTTTATTATTCTACTCCTAATGATATCCAAATAGCCTTCCAAATCCAAGTATAAGGTCTGGTTGCCAACTTGCCATCAGATGTGAGTAGTCTAACCATCGTAATTTGAGAAACCTGATCCCTCCCACTAACAACTTGACCAATCTGATACCTTTCTCTATTCTCCCGTCTATCTTTACTTTACTCTAACTACCATATTAGACTTTCTGTTATAATTTTGCGATGTCCCAGGTTCTGATCCCTGCTACTCCTCGATTTCTCCTTAAAATAAATCCTCTTGCAAACACAAGCTTATTGTTTATAAAATGTCATTCTAAATTTAAGTGAAGTTAAGATTATTGTATACTCAGCTCGTAGTTGATGACTGGGGCAAAATATGATCTGAGATGGTATAAATTATTATATATATCATTGTTGTTCACTTTATAAAAATGTTAATTTATTTTCTGCCATAGGTGATAAAGGTTAATCATGAGGCCCATGGTGTTGACTCTCCTGAAGATGTTGAAAAGATAGAATCTCTAATGCGTGAGAGGAACATGTCTTGAACTCTCAATATGGTTCAGAAACTACATGATTAATCATCAGCACATCACAGGTAGAAAAGGGCTTTATTATTATTATTATTATTATTATTATTATTTGTTTATTTCAGCATAAATCTGCTTGTTGTTTTTAACGTGTGGTATACGTGATATTATTTATGTTGTATGTTATTTTTTATCATTAGATAATGGACCATTACGTGATAATATTTAATAACAATATAAAATAATACCATGTAAAAGATATAGTAAAATTTTAGATTATTTGTTAATTTCGTTCAATGAATTTATTAATATCTTTTTAGTCCACAGTCAAATAATATAGTCGTCATGTTAAAGATATAGAAATCTTTTTTCACGTCTTCAAATGTGTAATGTTGATATAAAAAAATTATATTTAAATGAATAAAATACAATATATACACATAAAGTTAAGAATAATAAATTTAATTGTATTCAATATTAATATAATAGTGTAATTAATTTTGATAAAACTAGTAGACCTTTTCACTGTATAGAAAAATGGAACGTACCATTAAAATATATTTAGTAAATAAAACTAATATTTTAAATAAAATATGGAAGAAATACCACCATAGATGTGATTGGTTAAAAGTTAATTGATATTTGCCATCATTTCAAATTTTTGTTTTTTCAAAAAATTAAAATCGTAAATTGATATCTATTTCCCTTTCCTACTCATAAATTAAGATTGTAAACAATTTATACAACTTGTAAAATTTGAAAATTAGTTCTCCATAAAATGTTGAAATTAATATTTTCTCTTTATCCATGATTTATTTATGCCTTTTGATTTTTTCTTTTAAATTAAAATTACTGTGTACTAATATTTGATTTTATTTTTCTTTTAAATTTGAAACCAATCCAAATAATAATATTTAATGTTTCTTAATTTTTAAAACTAATCACTTTTCCTTTCTATTTTTTTATTTTGGATAAAATATTTTTTTATAAAATAATATATAAGTTATAGCGAAATATTATAATGGTAAAATTGACATTCAATCTTCTCCTAACAATTTCAATTAGACTTTTTTACGTTAATAGTTAGATGCATAATTGGTTTCAAAATACTATTAAGAGGCAAAGATGGACGAACATTCAAGTGATATTTGATTAAACATCAAATATGAGATAATTAAAATATATTTAATTTATTATATCTTGTTATTATCTCGTTATAATTATAAAAATAATATTTCAATTTTATTTTTATTCTTCTATTATTATAAATACAAGTAGATATAAATGTGTAGATGCACTTGGGTGTTCATTTTCCTTTTAATTTAATTTATTAATATATATATATATATATATATATAATTTTTAAAATATAAATATTTATTTGAGACTATGAATTATTAAACGTGGGGAGTTTTAAGAAGAGAAATAAACTGAAATAAAAATTAAGAGTAAGGAAAAAATAACATTTTTTATATTTATTGATTACAATATATTTATTTAATAAAAAAGATTGAGAAAAACGTGAGATTGAAGTGAGTAAATATATATATAAAAAATATATAATAATATATAAATTGTATTTTTTTCTCGGTCGAGGATGACATCAAAGGACAGATAAATAATTTCTTTTTATATGTTGTCATAGATATAATCATTTTTCGGATCCATTACCTACTATATTGAAAAGTTATAAAAACAAAAACAAAAAGAATTCTGTGAGCCAAAAAAAATAAAAGCATAGAATGAAATAATTTTTTTTACAAAGAAGACGTGTGATGTACTAACTTTTAACCGTTACATTAAGAAGACAAGGGTGATTTGCCAACTGTTAACTATTTTCTTGTTTCCAAAGACTGTACAAGGACCTTCAACTGCTATCGAAATTTTTATAATACTTGCATTGCATTGCATGCAAATCCCTTTGTCTTTGTACATCTTAACAGCACAAGTACATCATTTTTCTGAAAAAAACACCTCGATCCTGTCCTTTTGTCATGAAATCAAATTAAGAAACCTTTATTTAAAAAGGCTATTGTAACCAAGTAATGAGGTATACTAAGTAAGCCTACTAACTCATTGTAGCGATTCGACCTTGCCACCGTAGGATATATGCATTAAAAAAAAAATTGTTCTGAGGTGGAAAAGCCATAAATTTTTAAAAATGATAGATCTATTACCGCAGTAATATTTTCGTGAATATTTTTTTTTTCTCATTTCTTCTAATTTTTTTCATTTTCGTCAAACATTTTAGCTTCATCATTACATTTATCTATTTCCACTATGTTTTTTATTTGCATCATATTTGAACTTCACCTTTATCATATCTCCCCGTACCAATCTATCATATCTCCCCTGTACCAATCAAGAAAAACCATGCAAAATTTACCTAGTCAAAATTAAAATATATTTAGCAAACACGAACTACTACCATGGATAGGGCATTTTATCAAATGTGATAATCAGACTGGACCAAAAAAAAACATAGGTGGTAAGCAAATCACACTTCATAGTAAGAATATATAATCTTTCATAGACAGTAGCCACGATAACTGATAAAACCATTCGGTCACATGACGTCTAAACCATAAAGAAAAATCTCAAAAGTTTACAAGATAACAAAATTATCGAAAGATGAAACAAAAATCCTTCTGCCTACAAAGAAGTTGTGAATTCTACTGAGCGACTTCTCACCTGTATCTGCAAAAAAATTCCATGCACAATCAGGGCAAAATAAAGTACACAAAAACATACAGGTAAGTAGAACTAATAAAGTCAAGTTCAGACCAAATAATCCTGAAACCATACATCCAAACATCTGACCATATGGATAACTTGCAGAGGATTCATCTCCATTTTTCATAATCAATTAATGAATTATAACATCCGAAAATTAATAACAGCATAAACCAGGCACCCATCTTCAATTACAGAAATATCATTATAAATCAAAGAATAGAGGACTTCTACACAGTTATGTAAATAAAATAACTCATAATCTTTTGATTGCATTCCAAATAGCATGTTTCCCATATGTCCTTATCAATTCTTCCACCAAAAAACGTGGAGATCTTGTATTGCAATATAGGTTATTCTCTTTGCTAGAGTTTAAGTGCAATATTGTTCTATAACCTACTTAATAATACTAGCAACTTATAAGAGAATTAAAGAGTGAAGAAGTCAAGCATTGATGTAGTTCATTCACTTACATAGGTCATGAAATATAACAGGAATGTATGCTATTATGGAGTAAAAAGATAAATGACAAACTAATCACCTCATATGTTACTTGGATACATGAACACTCTTACACGTGCTCCCTGGAATTCATCAAAACTCATTAAAATCAAATAACATTAAGAAAAGCGACATTTTAAAAAAGTGCTGTCAAATAATTACCATTGATCTGGGAGGAAGGTTTGACTTGAACTTTGCACGAACAACACCACTGTTGCCATGAGGCCTTGTAACCTTGCCCCATATGCAGCGGTAATGGCTTCCATTCTTCTTCACCTTAGCCTTGTAAATATAGGCCATTCGCTTGCCAGCATACCATCCTACTTCTTCTTTGGTGTTCACTCCCTCAATTTGGATCAGGGATGTATTGGGATATTGGTTTGACTTGGACCTGATAAAAGACATTTACGGTGTAAGGCAACTAAAAAGTCAACTGGGTAAGCAAAAAATAAAAAAATTAACAAGGCAAAGTATTTACCTTTTGTATCCAAGGATCGTACCCCTAACATAGAGTCTGCAGCAAAAACCAAAAAGGAGTGTTATGCTAATTTCAACTAAAAGTCACACAGTCATCAACGAAGGGATAATTCACAAAATCAATATATAAAGTAGCAAACAAAATCTGAAATGCTACAACTACGAAAACCAGTATTCATACAATTTATTCTTGCTCCCTGTAGAAAAATATCCAACTGGTCACTAAATTAAATTATCCATTTCATAGATATTTCACTGTGATTATTTCCAAAATCAGTGCCAGTTGTAACAGTGACTACATTCCAATTCTAACAATCATCAATAAACCAAACCCTTCAATTTTCAACATCACTCAAGGGTATAATAACAAATCAACATTGCATGATAATGAAGGAAAACAGGTGAACCCGTTATTAAAACAGAGTAAACCAATCCGATCTAAGGAATAAATTTGAGCAACAGGCGAAAGCTAGAGCTTGTTGAAATGGAAGAAGGACTACCTGATGCGCTCTCCTTGGCGTCCCTTCACCATCTTCCTTGCTAGCTGCAGCTGACACGCGCGACAACACGACAGAAACAGCGAAGCTGCGGCGTAACCCTAAAAATTCTGAATTGGGTTTTTAGGGTTTTTATAAGGATATCTCTGAAGAAACTCTACATTGTTGGTATTGAATGGTAAACCCGGCCCACCTTGTGTGTTAGGCCCAGTATGTTGAGGACCGTTTGTGTAGCCATAATGAAAATATATTCATGGAGTGAGAAAATTTATAGTATGAACTATTATAAATTACATGAAAAATCGAATTTTGTGGGCGATAGATTTCAAAGAGGTTATCCAAGAAGAAAGTCAAGTCAAGCGCTTCTTTGTGATTATTATGATTGTAAGTGTATCACAAAATCAACAATAAAATGGTTTTTAACTTGAAAATGAACTCGAGCGAAGAAGAATCCAACAGAGCAGTGACACATATTGAGTGATTTGACTAATGATTTTAGATGTCAAATAAAATATCATTAATAAATAATTTTAGATTATTAATAATTAATAAAAGAATATAAAAAATAGAAAAATATAAAAATAGAAAAATATAACAATATAAAATAACTTTTTTATTTTATATATTAATTAATTATTTTTAAATTTATGAAAATAATAAAATTAAGTAATCATAATTATAAATATAAATAAATATATTAAAAGATCATTATATAAAAAATCAAAATTATAATTATAAGTTTAAAAATGATAATTAAGTTGTTAAAATAAATATTTTTATCTAATTTAATATAATTTTATCGGTAACTTAAAAAATTTGATGACCTAATTTAATTAATATTTTTAAATAAATCATAAATTTTGAAATAATCAGACTCTATTTAAATCAACCGAGTCAATTTTTTTAATTGAAAAATAAGAAAAAGATAGTAAATATTTATATCAAATAATTAATTACTTTTTTTAAATAAAAATAAAAAGATGTATTTTTAAATTTTAAATTTTATCAATAAAATTAATATTTATTTTATATAAAATTATTTAATATATAAATTATAAGAAAACAAAATGAAACACCATATTACAAAACACATCTTAAAAACCTTATAACATACATGTTAATTTTACAAAATGAAAATGTATATTAGAAAGAGATAAGAGTAAAAGTTCATTCTGATTTTAATTCTCTCTAGATCTCGCCATTTATAACACCTTTTTAAGAAACAAAATAATAAAAAAATAACAACAAAATGTTAAAAAAAATAAAAGAAAGGAATGAAAATTAACATAAATTCACAGAAACCCAACAATTTTACCCAAATTTGTGAAAACCAAAAGCAAAAAGGGGAGAATATGAATCTAGATTGAAATTTTAAAATGAATGTAACTTCATAAAAACCTATCACTTTTGTTCCAAAATTTTAAGAACTCAAAGAGAAGTTAAAAGTATAAAATTGGAATAAAATAATAATTTTAAAAAATGAACATGTCTCTTTCCATGTGCTCCCCTTCTTCACATTAAGACGGGGGAGAAAATTAGGTTAATTATTATTTTTTATTTATGTATGGTCTTTATACACCATGTTAGTTATAAGTGAAAACTAAAGTGTTAAATAGGCTTAATACGAGTCGTTTAGAAAAGTCTAATAAATAGGTTTGGTTAAAAAACAAATACTTAAATTGAATTAGATTAATCTGGTTAGATTTAGTCATAACCTAAGTTTATAACTTATGTGTTGTCACTTTTATAGTAAAATAATTTTTGTAAAATGAAAATGAAAATGAAAATAACATTATTTTATTAAAAACATATATGTATTATGAATTAATTTATTATAAAAACAAATATAAGAATAAGTTTCTCTCTTCTACTAGAACTAAAGAATGTTCTTATAAATTATGATAAATACTAGATATATAAGCAATAATTTCAAATTCAGAAGTTAAGCGATAACTTTACGTAAGACAGAATTTGATTTTTTGGATGTAATAGTGGAAAAGTTAATAAATAAGTCACCCTCACTGATCGATCGGATAAGAATATTTGATCATCTGTAATGAAAATTATATTAGTAGGAATAAAAGTTGATATTTACTTATTTTAACATTTAATGGTTAAACTAAATTATAAATTTAAATTAATAAATTATTAAAAATTGAATGATGATGATAATAAATAATAAAATTTTTATTTTGAGATTTAATACATTTTTTTTAATTTTATATTAAATCATTATATCTAAAATTAAAATTAATTTGATTAATATAATTAAATTAAAAAATGTTTTTTAATTTTTATTTAAATATTTTTTAATTAATTATTTTGATAGAAGCATATTAATATATTTGTTTGTTAATCCATTAATCTAATATAAAATCAAACTAGATCAAAATTTATGACTTATTTTAAAATATAAGTCAAATTATACTATCAATTTTAACCCGTATAACATATCAAATTATGTTAAATCACATAACAATCTTAATTAAAAATATACATTCATCTAATAAAACTATGTGATTTTTTGTAAACTTCAATAACTTTTAGATATTTTTTTATACAAAATGAAACTTTTTATATTGTTATAATGAGTAAACAATTAATTTCATTATATAATTTAATATGATTAGTTATTGTTAATAATAACTTACAACATGGAGGAATAAGATAATATTATCTTATCTAAAGTTAAAAGTATATTTTATGATACGTATTTTTAAAATAAAAAAAATGGTTAAAATTAATCTACAGTCACAAAAATGTTTTTTCACAATACATTTAGTTACTTACTTCCATGTTTATTGGTCAAAACTTCTCGCTTAGTGTTTTTCGTTTCTAACTTGTCTGCTCCAAGCTTCTCTTTTAAAGTTGGTACCCATCTCCGGAGACTCATAGTTTAGAATCCTAGAGATGCTTGTGTTCAAGATTTGTGAGATTAATAAATGTAACATTTTTATTTTAATTAATTTGGGGTCTAGGATTTTAATTGTTATATTATATCTATGAGTCACTTTTATAGTTTTTATATTGTTTCTACGATACATTAATTAGAGAAAGTAATTGTCCCTTGTTATTGTGTTTTGAATCTTTTGAGTGATTTGAGGATGATTTTGAAGATTGTTGGGCAATGTTTGCTTCCCTCTTCCATCTTCTGTTAGAACTTTTAACCTTTTATCATTTTGCTTTTTAGCTATGTTTTTTAATTTCTTGAACACTTCAAGTACTTTAGTTTTCCTCTTAATTGAGTATGTCCAAGTCTTCCTAATCCAATCATCAATGAACAACACAAAATACTTGCTTCCACCAGGTGTCTCAGTTTGCATTGGGCCACATACATATGAGTATATTACTTCTAACTTTTCTGCTGTCTTTTGAGGTAGAACATGTTGAAAACTGTCTCTGGTTTGCTTACACTGAATACACTCTTTACAGAACATTAATATGTGGTAAACCATTAATCATTGTACGTTGACTTAACCTGGATAAGTCTCTGAAATTTAAGTGCCCAATGCACAAATGCCACAGCCACTCTATCTCACTTTCTGACATTGCAAAACATCGGTGGTTTACAACATTCATCACAACATGAAAAGTACTGTTCTAAGATAATTTTGCTTTTTATGATCAGTTTCTTATTCTGATCAAAAATATTATAAGACAATTGTTTTCCATTTTCATCACAAAATCTTTTTGCAAAAGCTGACCAAGACTTAGTAGATTTGTTTTTAATTTAGACATGTATAATACCTCTTCAATCACTACTTCTTTTCCATCATTTCTTCGAAGCATCACTCTGCCAGACCCTTGTGCAATTAAACTTCTATCAACAGCAAATCGGATTTTCCCATGAGCTACCTCTTGCATTTTTACAAGCCACTCCTTTCTTCCATTCATATGAGTTGAACATCCAGAGTCTAGGTACCACGATGCATCTTCTGGCTCATCTGCATTCGTTCTTGCTATCAACATCACAATTTCAGAATCTGATGTATCATCTTGTGCTAAGTGTGCTTGATTTTTCGGCCTGTTCTTTGGACCGTCTCCTTTCCAACATTCTTTGACAAAATGACCAAATTTCTGAGAGTTGTAACACCTTACCTTCTTCTTGTCAAACTTCCATTCCTTTTCTCCATCAGAATTGGCGCAAGATTTGTAGTTCTTGCGTTCAAAAGTCTCATCAGAATCTTCATCTTTTTGTTCTTGTGATTCTTTCTACTTGGTGTTACTCCTGTTATTAGTTTTGAATCATTTTCCCTTCACTTTGTACTGGGATCGTGCCTGAAGTGTCTGTTCTTGATAGTGCATGCACTCAATCATATGATACTCATGTGCCTCCAATGAATGTTGCAATTCCTCAACCTCCATAGTTTCCAGATTTTTAGTTTCTTCAATGGTTATCACCATATGGTCAAATTTTTGAGGAAGGGATCTCAATATTTTGTTTACCACATGCTGATCTGGAATTTTATCATTACATGATTTCATAACAGTTACTAACTCCTGAACTTTATCAAAATACTCTGCAATGGTTTCATTTTCCTCCATTACAAGAAATTCAAACATTCTTCTTAGTGCTTGCAGCTTGACTTTCTTGTATTTGTCTCCATCACCATACGTTTTTGTCAAAATTGTCCATGCTTCCTTTGCAGTCTGAGTTTTGGAGATCTTTTTAAAGATCTTTGAATCAACGCACTAGTACAACAAAAATCTGGCTTTGTTGTCCAGTTTATGATGCACCATATAATTCTTCTTCCTTTCATCTGTTGTTTTGTTATCTGGTTTCGTAAGACCACTCTCTATCACCTCTGCAACCTCCTGGAAACTAAAAACAGCCAACATCTTGATCTTCCAATCGTCAAACATCTTGCCATCAAATATTGGCAAACCTCCTTGTATTATACTTCCCATTCCAGCCATATTTACCACAAATTTTCTTGACACCAATACCCACTGTGAGGTCCTTCTAACACCTTTCTTGATAAAACAAGAAACCACTCTCTTGGAACAACATTCAAGAAATCACTTTAACTCTCTTAGGTTCTATAGCAACCTAGCTCTTAATACCATAAAGGATTTTAGAAAAAAGAATGGGAAGAAAAAGATAATACATCTTCATTAACCTTTTAATGATGTATATATGCACCACACAACTATAATAGAAACAGTTTTATTTTTATGTTTTGGTTTAACTACCCATACTAAAACTTGACCAATCTGATACCTTTCTCTATTCTCCCATCTATCTTTACTTTACTCTAACTACCATATTAGACTTTCTGTTATAATTTTGCGATGTCCCAGGTTCTGATCCTTGCTACTCCTCGATTTCTCCTTAAAATAAATCCTCTTGCAAACACAAGCTTCTTGTTTATAAAATGTCATTCTAAATTTAAGTAAAGTTAAGATTATTGTATACTCATGCTCGTAGTTGATGACTGGGGCAAAATATGATCTGAGATGGTATAAATTATTATATATATCATTGTTGTTCACTTTATAAAAATGTTAATTTATTTTCTGCCATAGGTGATAAAGGTTAATCATGAGACCCATGGTGTTGACTCTCCCGAAGATGTTGAAAAGATAGAATCTCTAATGCGTGAGAGGAACATGTCTTGAACTCTCAATATGGTTCAGAAACTACATGATTAATCATCAGCACATCACAGGTAGAAAAGGGCTTTATTATTATTATTATTATTATTATTATTATTTGTTTATTTCAGACATAAATCGCTTGTTGTTTTTAATGTGTGGTATATGTGATATTATTTATGTTGTATGTTATTTTTAAAGGGAGTAAGTATATCACAATTTTAAGGGGAGTAAGTATATATTTCTGATCTTATATGTTAATGACATTTTACTTGTCACTAATGATATATGCATATTGCATGAAACCAAGAAATTTTTGTCAAAGAATTTCGAAATGAAAGATCTTGGTGATGCGTCTTTTGTATTAGGAATTCAGATACACCGAGATCGATGTCGGGGTATTTTAGAATTATCACAAAGGAGCTATATCGAAAAAAATTCTTAAAAGGTTTGACATGCATTAATGTAAATTCGGGGATACTCCAGTTGCTAAGGGAGACAAATTTAGTCTCAATCAGTGCCCAAAGGGAAATTTGGAAATTGAGGAAATGCAAAAGATTCCCTATGCATCAGCTGTAGGGAGTTTGATGTATGCTTAAGTATGTACGCGTTCAGACATAGCATACATAGTTGGAGTTTTAGGCAGATATTTAAGCAATCCAAGAATGGACCATTGGAAAGCAGCAAAAAGGGTCATGAGATATTTAAAGAGAACAAAAGATTACATGCTCACATACAAGAGGTCAGACCAGTTGGAGATCGCTGGGTTTTCTGACTCGGACTTTGCAGGATGTCAAGATAGTTTAAAATCCACTTCAGGTTACATTTTTATGTTAGCAGGTGGTGCGGTTTCTTGGCGCAGTGTCAAACAAACCCTTACAACTTCATCTACTATGGCAACAGAATTTGTAGCATGCTATGAGACATCGAATCATGGAATATGACTGAGAAATTTTGTCACAGGGCTGCAAATTGTGAAAGACATTGAAATACCACTTAAGTTATATTGTGACAACAAATCAGCTGTATTGTATTCCAACAACAACAAAAGTTCGACTAAGTCAAAGCACATCGACATTAAGTTCCTAGTTGTTAAGGAAAGAGTACAGAGTGGACAGATTTCCATAGAACATTTAGGGACAAACTCCATGATAGTAGATCCTCTAACTAAAGGACTTCCGCCCAAGGTCTTTCATGAGCATGTTGCTCACATGGGTGTTTTACAGTTTGAGGAATTTGTGGTTTAGTGGGAGTTAGTCACTTTCATATATTTTATGTTCTATGTTTAATTTCATATATGTATACATTTAATTTTTGGACATATTTGGTTATCTATAGATATGCGGTTTTTTCGTTCATTTATTACACTTTGTACATTAAAGATATTATATCGATCTCGATAAGTTAAAGTTTGGACCAGTTGAAAATAGATGTGTACAGATCACCTTCACGTAATTTTTCATGCTACACATTTCATGATGAATCCATGTCATTTGATTATGTTAGGATGAATAATCATTGTTGGTTTTAGTTGCGATGATGCAATGAAAAACTATTTTGGTTCTATATCCTGATATGATTAATGGACAAGACTTTTAGAGTATGTTAAAGGAATATAATGACAATTTTGAGCTCATAAAGTCTAACACATTTGTAAGGTTGTAAGGGCATATATATTTGTGACCAATGGGAGATTGTTGGCAAAATTTGGGTCATGTATATATATGATACATAATTTAAATGTGTTAGGGTCATTATTTATTAAGCCAAATAATAAAGTGATCTGACTAAATTAAAGTTTTGGCTAAAAACATATGTCATGAAAATAAAATTGTGTAGAGACCAAGAGTAATTTCTAATTTGATGAGGGGTCAAATTGGAAATACTAAAACTTAACTAATTAACCTAATTCTAGTTATTTTAAGGGGTCATTGTCCCCTTCTGGGAGTACACACACATAATATAAGTATCAGTCCCGTTCTTTTCTTTCTATCCCCCATCAAGAGAGAAAATCCAGAGGAAATACAGGTGCTCTCCAGAAGGAAGACCATAAGATCAATAGTAATCTAAAAGGGACATTATCATTATGATTAATTCAGGTACGCTTTCACATTTAGTTTATAACATGTTTACAGTATGAGATTAATCGTTAGATTGAAAATCATATTTAATTATTAGTTTACCTATCATACGTGATATTATTTATGTTGTATGTTATTTTTTATCATTAGATAATGGACCATTAATATTTAATAACAATATCAAATAATACCATGTAAAAGATATAGTAAAATTTTAGATTATTTGTTAATTTCGTTCAATGAATTTATTAATATCTTTTTAGTCCACAGTCATATAATGTAGTCGTCATGTTAAAGATATAGTAATTTCTTTTCACGTCTTCAAATGTGTAATGTTGATATAAAAAAATTATATTTAAATGAATAAAATACAATGTATACACATAAAGTTAAGAATAATAAATTTAATTGTATTCAATATTAATATAATAGTGTAATTAATTTTGATGAAACTAGTACACCTTTTCACTGTATAGAAAAATGGAACGTACCATTAAAATATATTTAGGAAATAAAACTAATATTTTAAATAAAATATGGAAGAAATACCACCATATTCATAAAAGCATAAAACAATGTTTGACATTTTAATTTATTTTAATATGAATTCACAAAATTATAATCCAATTAATTTTATGTAAAAAAATTAAGTTAATTTAATTTGAATCATCAATTTGAAAAACATAGATGTGATAGGTTAAAGGTTAATTGATATTTGCCTTCATTTCACAATTTTTGTTTTTTCAAAAACTTGAAATCGTAAATTGATATATATTTCCTTTTCCTACTCACAAATTAAGATATAAAAATTCAAATAATACAACTTGTAAAATTTGAAAATTATTTCTCCATAAAAGGTTGAAATTAATATTTTCTCTTTATCCATGATTTATTTTATGCCTTTTGATTTTTTTTTCTTTTAAATTAAAATTACTTTGTGGACTAACATTTGATTTTATTTTTATTTTAAATTTGAAACGAATCCAAATAATAAATAAAGAATATTTAATGTTTCTTAATTTTTAAAATTAATCACTTTTCCTTTCTAGTTTTTTATTTTGGATAAAATATTTTTTTATAAAATAATATATAAGTTATAACAAAATATTGTAATTGTAGATTGACATTCAATCTTCTTCTTATTCATATAAATACTTATGTAAAAATTTTAAATTTTTTATTTCATTTTTTATCGGGAGTTATTTCACAAGTAATAACAATTTCAATTAGACTTTTTTACGTTAATAGTTAGATACATAATTGGTTTCAAAATACTATTAAGAGAGAAATAAGGACGAGCATTCAAGTGGTATTTGATAAAACATCAAATATGAGATAATTAAAATATGTTTAATTTATTATATCTTGTTATTATCTCGTTATAATTATAAACATAATTGTATTTCAATTTTATTTTTATTCTTATATTATTATAAATACAAGTAGAAATAAATGTGTAGATGCACTTGGGTGTTCATTTTCCTTTTATTTTAATTTATTAAATTTAATATATATGTATATACTAATTTAAAACATATAAATATTTATTTTTGAGACTATGAATTATTAAACGTGAGGAGTTTTAAGAAGAGAAATAAACTGAAAAAAAAATTAAGAGTAAATATAAAAGATTGAGAAAAACGTGAGATTGAAGTGAGTAAAAAAAAAAAAAATAATAAAAAAAAAAAAAAAATATATATATATATATATATATATATATATATATATATATATATATAACAATATATAAATTGTATTTTTTTTTCTCGGTCGAGGATGACATCAAAGGACAGATAAAATAATTTCTTTTTATATGTTGTCATAGATATAATCATTTTTCGGATCCATTACCTACTATATTAAAAAGTTATAAAAACAAAAAGAATTCTGTGAGCCAAAAAAAAAAAAAAAAGCATAAAATGAAATAAAATTTCTTTTACAAAGAAGACATGTGTGATTCACTGTTACATTAAGAAGACAAGTGTGATTTGCTAACTGTTAACCATTACATTAATATGATCTCTACCTTTAGAATCCTGCATCTTCCACAACATACTATTTTCTTGTTTCCAAAGACTAACTGCTATCGAAATTTTAATAATACTTGCATTGCATGCAAATCCCTTTATCTTTGTACATTTTAAATGCACAAGTCATCATTTTTCTGGAAAAAACACCTCGATCCTGTCATTTTGTCATGAAATCAAAGGAAGAAACCTTTATTTAAAAAGGCTATTGTAACCAAGTAATGAGGTATACTAAGTAAGCCTACTAACACATTGTTCCATAATGCTCATAGCGATTCCACCTTACCAGAGGAGGATATATGCATATAAAATATTTTGTTCAGATGGAAAAGCCATAAATTTTTAAAAGTGATAGATCTATTAACGCACTAATATTTTCGTGAATTTTTTTTTTCTCATTTCTTCTATATTTTTTCATTTTCGTCAAACATTTTAGCTTCATCATTACATTTATCTATTTCCATTTATATTTTTCATTTGCATCATATTTGAACTTCACTTATCTATTTTATCATATCTCCCCTGTACCAATCAAGAAAAACCATGCAAAATTTACCTAGTCAAATTAAAATATATTTAGCAAACACGCACTATTACCATAATGTGATAATCAGACTGAACAAATAAAAGACACATAGGTGGTAAGCAAATCACACACTTCATAGTAAGAATATATAATCTTTCATAGACAGTAGCCACGGTAACTGATAAAACCATTCGGTCACATGACGTCTAAACCATAAAGAAAAATCTCGAAAAGTTTACAAGATAACAAAATTATCGAAAGATGAAACAAAAATCCTTCTGCCTACAAATGAGCTGTGAATTCTACTGAGCGACTTCTCACCTGTATCTGCAAAAAAAATTCCATGCACAATCAGGGCAAAATAAAGTACACAAAAACCATGCAGGTAGGTAGAACTAATAAAATCAAGTTCAGACCAAATAATCCTGAAACCATACATCCAAACATCTGACCACATGGATAACTTGCAGAGGATTCATCTCCATTTTTCATAATCAATCAATGAATTATAACATCCGAAAATTAATAACAGCATAAACCAGGCACCCATCTTCAATTACAGAAATATCATTATAAATCAAAGAATAGAGGACTTCTACACAGTTATGTAAATAAAGTAACTCATAATCTTTTGATTGCATTCCTAATAGCATGTTTCCCATAAGTCCTTATCAATTCTTCCACCAAAAAATGTGGAGATTTTGTATTGCAATATAGGTTATTCTCTTTGCTAGCATTGAAGTGCAATATTGTTCTATAACCTACTTAATAATACTAGCAACTTATAAGAGAATTAACATAAAAGATAAACGAGTGAAGAAGTCAAGCATTGATGTACAACAGATCAATAATTAGCATGGATGTCAAAATCTACATCTGGCGATCCAAAGATGTAGTTCATTCACTTACATAGGTCAGAAATATAACAGGAATATGTCCTATTATGGAGTAAAAAGATAAATGACAAACTAATTACCTCATATGTTACTTGGATACATGAACACTCTTACACGTGCTCCCTGGAATTCATCAAAACTCATTAAAATCAAATACCATTAAGAAAAGCAACATTTTAAAAACAGTGCTGTCAAATAATTACCATTGATCTGGGAGGAAGGTTTGATTTGAACTTTGCACGAACAACACCACTGTTGCCATGAGGCCTTGTAACCTTGCCCCATATGCAGCGGTAATGGCTTCCATTCTTCTTCACCTTAGCCTTGTAAATATAGGCCATTCGCTTGCCAGCATACCATCCTACTTCTTCTTTGGTGTTCACTCCCTCAATTTGGATCAGGGATGTATTGGGATATTGGTTTGACTTGGACCTGATAAAAGACATTTACGGTGTAAGGCAACTAAAAAGTCAACTGGGGAAGCAAAAAATAAAAAAATTAACAAGGCAAAGTATTTACCTTTTGTATCCAAGGATCGTACCCCTAACATAGAGTCTGCAGCAAAAAGCAAAAAGGAGTGTTATGCTAATTTCAACTAAAAGTCACACAGTCATTAACGAAGGGATAAATCACAAAATCAATATATAAAGTAGCAAACAAAATCTGAAATGCTACAACTACGAAAACCAGTATTCATACAATTTAATCTTGCTCCCTATAGAAAAATATCCAACTGGTCACTAAATTAATTTATCCATTTCATAGATATTTCACTGTGATTATTTCCAAAATCAGTGCCAGTTGTAACAGTGACTACATTCCAATTCTAACAATCATCAATAAACCAAACCCTTCAATTTTCAACATCACTCAAGGGTATAATAACAAATCACCATTGCATGATAATGAAGGAAAACAGGTGAGTCCGTTATTAAAACAGAGTATACGAATCCGTTCTAAGGAATAGTGAAACGTGAGTAAGCAAAACTATGAACGGAAAGAAGAAATGTAAGGTTAAGTGTTAAGGCGTAAATTTGAGCAACAGGCGAAAGCTAGAGCTTGTTGAAATGGAAGAAGGACTACCTGATGCGCTCTCCTTGGCGTCCCTTCACCATCTTTCTTGCTAGCTTCAGCTGATACGCGCGACAACACGACAGAAACAGCGAAGATGCCGGCGTAACCCTAAAGAAGGACTAATGATTTTAGACTTCAAATAAAATATCATTAATAAATAATTTTAGATTATTAATAATTAATAAAAGAATATAAAAAAAGAAAAATATAGAAATATGACAATATAAAATACCTTTTTATTTTATAAATTAATTATTTTTAAATTTATGAAAATAGTAAAATTAAGTAATCATAATTATAAATATAAATAAATATATTGAATGATGATTATATAAAAAATCAAAATTATAATTATATGTTTGAAAATCATAATTAAGTTTTTAAAATAAATATTTTTATCTAATTTAATATAATTTTATCGGTAACTTAAAAAAATTTGATGACCTAATTTAATTAATATTTTTAAATAAATCATAAATTTTGAAATAATCAGACTCTGTTTAAATCAACCGACTTAATTTTTTTAATTGAAAAATAAAAAAAATAGTAAATATTTATATCAAAATAATTAATTAATTTTTTAAATAAAAATAAAAGATATATTTTTAAATTTTATCAATAAAATTAATATTTATTTTATATAAAATTATTTAATATATAAATTATAAGAAAACAAAATGAAACACCATATTACAAAACACATCTTAAAAACCTTATAACATACATGTTAATTTTACAAAATGAAAATGTATATTAGAAAGAGATAAGAGTAAAAATTCATTCTGATTTCAATTCTCTCTAGATCTCGCCATTTATAACACCTTTTTAAAAAACAAAATAATAAAAAAATAACAACAAAATGTTAAAAAAAATAAAAGAAAGGAATGAAAATTAACATAAATTCACAGAAACCCAACAATTTTACCCAATTTTGTGAAAACCAAAAGCAAAAAGGGGAGAATATGAATCTAGATTGAAATTTTAAAATGAATGTAACTTCATAAAAACCTATCACTTTTTTTCCAAAATTTTAAGAACACAAAGAGAAGTTAAAAGTATAAAATTGGAATAAAATAATAATTTTAAAAAATGAACATGTCTCTTTTCATGTGCTCCCCTTCTTCACATTAAGACGGGGAGAAAAGTTGTTACTAAAAATGAAAAAGACAATCACGTCCAACTTTTTTATCTTAACGTAAGAAATAGTAAAAAAAATATGATAAAATTTATGTTTTTTTTTTAAAGGGCCACATGATGAAATTAAAATTAAATTATAATTTTTAATATATTTACAAAACTGAAATCAACATTGACCATGTGCTCCAACATGCTAAGGTAATAAAAAAAATTAGAGTTCTTAATCACTAACACAAAAAAAAATCTTTATTTTAAGGTATAGAAAATAATTATCAATCAAATAATAACTTCTCACACAAGAGTTTAATAAAGTTTAGTCTAAACCAGTTAAAAAATATTTAATACTGCATTATTTAAAATTTCTAAAAAAATTAATATAAATATTTGTCATTTTTTTATAAATATATGCTTATTATTAATAATAAATATTAATAAGTGTTATTGAATTTTCAATTTAAATATGATTATATATTTGAATTTTATATGTATTTTAAATGTTATAATTCTATAAGTTGATGTTTTATTTAAACTTTAACATAATTGTAATATTTATTTTTAATTCTTTTATATATTAATTAATAATTATCTGTCTAAGTTAAACTTTTAAAACAGTGTTATGAATGATTTAATCATCTATCTAATTTTAAAAATATTAGTAATAAAAAAAGAAAGAATAAATACTTAGTAAAAAAATAAAGAAAGAATAAATACCTTGCTTGAACGAGAGATAAACTTGAAATTTAAGGAAATGATTACAAATGAACAACACAGAGTTGAAGGAGGAATTTTAATAACCCTCTTTTTAATATAACTTTTAAAATCAATAATTTTTTCTTATTTCTCTTTTTCCACGTTGATTTTTAGAATATGATGACAGAAAGATGGGAGAAGAAGGGAAAGAATTGCGTGTTGTCAAAAGTAATTATAAGTTTTTTTTAAATAAAATTGAATAACTATTTAAAATATATATATATATATATTTTTTTTTTTATTAATTTATGGACATAGTTTAATATTTCAATGATTTGTTTTTAATCAATCTGATTCAGTTTATAAATAAATAAAATTGTAGTAAAGATTATTTAACTATAAATTTAGACACTATATGATCAATTTGTTGATTAAAATATTTTAATAAAAGTAACATATTTTATTAATTAAGAGTTATTAAAAATATGAAATTGCGTGTTTTTTTCTATATATTTTTAATGTTTATTACTTATAATAAAATTTAATTATAGTAGAATAATGTATTAAAAACTGTGTTAAAGTGTAGTGAGATTGTGCAAAGCAAACCCTACAGAGGTTTATTGTTGAGAAGTTTGCGAAGTGAGAAAGCAAAGCACAGGGACCCGTGAAGGGAAGCAGAGACAGGATGGCGAGAAACTGGTTGTTTCGATCTCTGACCCTTCGACATGCGATAAAGAATAGGGTTCGCCCAATCCTCTTCCACGCTCACCACCGCTTTCTCTCACTCCCATCCAAACCCTCTCTCTTCGCCACCGCCATCGCCTCCTCTCAGCTCTCTTTCCTCCCATCCTTCCACCACTCCCGTTCCCTCTCCTCCGCCGCAGGTATATCACTCTCTCAATCTCCCTCTCTCACACACACAAGCACACTCTACATTGCTTGATTTTCATATGCGAAACGAAAGGAATCGTGTTAATTTACTTGTTTCTCTATCTACATTGTTCACCACTTCATTAAATTCTGTTCCTGGATTCGCTTCCTCCTGATACTATTGCCACTTTATGAAAACGATTTTATATGTAGCTAATTGTTTCAACTTTATTTCACTGCATCGTAAAACTAAGTCTATTGCCGAATTATTTCCAGGTCCTTCCGACGTTGTCCTTGTTAATTCAGAGGAAGAGTTCAACAAAATCCTTACCAAAGTCAGAGGTATGTCTATGTGTTCGTACTATTTTCATATAAAATTTTGTTAGTCCATAATTTGCAAAAGACTTTGGTACAGGTTCGTATATATACTCTATTGTTCTTTTGTTCTGTTATTTTTTATTTGTGAAAAAATCTATACAGAGAGCTGAATTCTTCTTTCTGGTGAAATTATGTTCAATAGATGACTCGTCGCACGCTATCTTCTATTTCACTGCGGTTTGGTGTGGACCTTGTAAGTTGCTGTGGCTTTTTTTTTTGGTATATGTTGAATTAGATATTTGCAATGAATTGTAATTATTTTACTGTGTTGCTTATTCACGGTGATGCATGTGCGTGACCATTGCAAAAGAGCAATGAGTATCACGTAATTTGATTTGGAGGACTGTTTGGCGTATGATACCACCAAACAGTAAATTATGCTTCACCATTCATGCGGGATCTTCAACTGTCTGTGAAACTCTGAAAAGGCATGCTCTGTGATGTACTTCAAATTTACAAACCAATTTTGTGCCCTTGTATGGGTTGTAATTCATCTTTTGTTATAACTGCCCTGCCCGTTATGCTAGTGTAAAAGTTATGTGGATGACCTTTTGGCTGATAGAAAAAATAATTTGGATGTTACATGTTATACTCATAGTTTACTGCTTAGAGGTGGTGTTTATGCTTTTGATGCTTGTATATTTATTTCTTGATGTTTCTATTCTTTCGAAAAATTCTCAGTTTTTGTGGTGTATATTTCTGTTTAGGCAGGTTTATCACTCCTATAGTTGGGGAGCTCAGTAAGAAGTATCCTCATGTGACAACATACAAGATTGACATTGATCAGGTATATTGGTGTTATCTGTGGTTTCAAATCATGAGCCAAAATACAATATATGTACTAGATTTTGGAATGGCACTATATTTTTTTTTTAATCTTAAATTGGATTTTCAATAAAATGTATTGCATGATTCAAACTAGCTTAAAATTTATATTCTGCATGAGTCTATTCTAATTATATTTTGAGCATTATAAAATATAAATGTAGGGCACATAAGTAGACATATTTAATATAGTCACTAACTCGTTATCTATTTGTTTTAAATATATAAAAAAAATGTAAGTCACAAGTTCAAGTCATGTTTACTAACATACATAGTTAATGATATGATCTCTTACGACCTTAAATGCCTGGACATCACATAATCAAATTTAGAATAATAAGCATGCTTTGCATTTTTCTTTTTGTTGCTACTTTGTCAAATTTAGTCTGTCACACTAATTTCATTAGCAACCATTAGGCTATTTCCTTTTGGGGATCTGGTGGTTTCTCCCTTTTGTTTTTTCATTACTTTTTTGCATGTTAAACTTGAAAGTATGCTTTTGCACTGACTTGAAAATTTGATTGATTTATGGCATCTAGAAGTAACCATGTTTCAAGGTGGCTTAAACATTTACTTTTACTTTCACCTTTCCCAGGAAGCAATTCAAGGCACGTTGGGCAAATTGCAGATTACATCTGTGGTAATTTATTTGACAATTTGTTTTAGGTTTTTGTGTTCCGATACTGCTTGTGATGCTAAAATCTTTTCACATATGTATACAATATAATCTGATCGTGGCATGTGAATCATGTTAGGCATTCATCAGGAATTGGAAACTTCTCCAGCTATTTAGTTGTTGTTTTTTTTCAATTATTGCATGCCTCTTTTTGTTTGTTTCCCTCTTTCTAGTATTGCGTTAATAATTTTGAATGTACCTACTTCCTCCTAAAAAAGTTATAACTTACAATAATGTTTTTTCCTTCTACAGCCTACACTTCATTTCTTTCAGAATGGGAAAAAAGTGGATGAGCTTATAGGTGCTGATGTCACGCGATTGAACAATATCACAGAGAAACTGTTCAAGTAATCCTTCAGAGTTTGACTCATGTTATGCTTTGTAAATATAAATATGCACCGTGAGGCTGTTACTTCCCTCCTTCTACTAGGTTTTTAAGTAACATTGGCGGCTTTTCAAGTTGTAATGTTCTGTTCTGGATGTGATTACTGATCTGTTGTACAATGCTTGCTTATATTCGTTTTCCATTGTTAACATTTAGGTATGGACAAATCATACCCATATTCAAACCTACTAATTTAGAATTACATATATGCATGTGTAAAACATTCTTGCTCCTGTAATTTCATTCACTTAACATTGCCAGGGTCGTGCCCAAGCCTCCAAAAGAAAAACATTCTGGTTGGATCAATTGAGATGCTTCTGTTTATTCACTGGATTTTTTGGGCATCATAAGATTTGATTGTCACATTTTGAATTTTGGCTAACTCAGTTTTCTGTGTTTCAGGAAGGCCTGACTTTGATTTCGAGGTTGGAATGTTGATCACCGCTGAATGGACGATGAAGTGCAGAATGATTGAATTGCAGCTGCTTAGTGACACTATCTAGGCGTCCCTCCTTATGGTTTACTTACTGTCGTCATTTGATTGTATTTTAAAAATTTCCATAATAGAAGATAGATTAAGCATGTTTGTGCAGGTCTGTAGGACATGGGATATTTATTATACGTAATGCTTATATGGAAAGAATATTGACAAATTGGAAATTCTTTAAACTTAGCATCGTAATTTTGATCGATCCTGACAACTTTTGTCAAACTATTATTAAGCGTTGAAAAATCCACGGCACCATGATATTCAGCTTGTATGCTCCTCTAAGGCTTTTTGACACGAACCTCAAAAGGTTTTATCGGGATCATTTGGCACTTTTTCTTATTTTTTTGTACTTAGAGAGAACCTTGGTAAACATATAAACTAAGGGTCAGCATTTTGGTCTTCAATTTCCTTTTCTTTCATGTCAGTCCAAGCTTAGAGACAACCTTGAGATCTTGTGCAACTATCACATTTGGTAATGGGCTAGTATGATCGTTGTGTACGTCCAATGTGTCCATAACAGAATCCTCGGCAAGAATGCGGTATGCACCAGCTTGGTTATTACCAGAGTTGCCATCAACAAGAATCCGGATAACCAGTGAGTTTTTGGAAGATATCCTCTAGATCTTGATCTACCACAGGGGAATCAACATTAGTAGAAAAGGGGTCCGGGGAAGGAGTAACTTAACCAGCTGCATGAACAGGGGATAGGCCTTTGCCACTAAGAGGTTGAACAACGTGATTATCAGGAGAAGCACCAACCTTTTGATCAACATTTTCTTCTATTACAACTATCCCTACTCTGTCCTGACAGATGATGTTTTTTGGGATAACATTGACATCCTTTCCTTCATTCAGGCCATCGTTGTCTGCAGGCAAAATAGAAGGCTTGACAAAGCCTTGAGTTGAGAAGATGGCTTAGCTGAGCAATGACCTACTTGAGAAGGGGGTCCTCTAGCCAATATGCTCTCTTATGGTTGCACCTTATTCCTGTTCAAGAGAAGTGGGTCAACCCTGCGCTTCGTTCGATAATTAAAGATAGTGGTCAATCATTTTGCAAGAGGCAGAAAAATCAAATACCTACTAAGATCCTGGCATAAACCCCGCGCAATCTCTTTTATAGTAGAGTTATAGATCTCGTGCTGCTCATACTCCGAAACGTAGTTGTAATATGTAGATACACGCTCAATTAGCTAACATGCTATGTTTTCATTATTAAACGACTTGTATGTGTCTTATAAGTTTAAGCTGCATAGATTTATGTGTTGTTGAACAAGTGTTCTACAGTGCATTAATTTTAACGTCAACTTGTAATTGAATTATGGAGTCACGAAGATTGTAATTTCAGATCATAAATTTCTGCAAGACTTATGGTAACATGAAAGAATTTCCTGACTTGAACTATTTTATCTCTTACCTTTGCTATGGAGAAATCTCATGGTATATCAAGGGTGATTGATTATGACTTGTTTCTTTGTAACTAATGACATGGACTGGTTGAAAGTCAGTGGACTACAAGAATATTCTTTATAATGTCCTGCCCGTACAAGCTTATATTTACATTTTTCTTTACTTCAATATTCCTCTTCTAAAGGTTATAAAAATGGTTTTACCCTGCGGCCAACACTTTTTACGGGAAGAAGGCTGATGAGGAAATGAATATCACAGGTGAACTCTTCCAAGGTAAACTCTTCCAACAATCTTTCAGAGCTTAACATCTTATGCTTTGTATATATTATAATACATACACCGTAAGGCAGTTATTTCCCTTCTTCCTTGTTAGGTTTGTTCTTCATGTGATTATTGCTCAGTTGTAAACTGTTTTGTTACATTGTTTTCCTTTTGCAATTATATATTTAGGAATGGATAGGTTAGGCACGTTGTGAAACCTACAAATTAACAATTACATGCATGGGTAAAATAAATATTCTTGTTTTGTAATTTTTCCAAGACTCCACCATTGTTGATTCAGTTTCTATATTCTAACATATTAATTGAATTTGTAAATACATTTTTAATTACAATTAAACTTATCTCACGGTCTTCTAATTTTGTGAAATTGTACAAAATCACATAATTTTCAAAATATAACAATGGCAAAATCGGAATCAAAATGTAGATTCATCAGCGCTAATCAGAGAATTTCCAATTGAACGGGCATATTTCTCCGAATTCCTTACTATCAAAAACGAAATGGTTGCATTCACTTTCATCACAAATTACTTAAAAAAGGCCAATATATTAATATAAAAAGTCGCAACGAATGTAAAAAAACATTAAAAGACTAGTTCATAAGATCTGCGAATACATTACGGAAGGCAAGATTTGCTTAAGAAAAATTGGAGAGGGAATCAGAATCTGAGTTTAGTGAAGAACCACCTATTCTTGCCAGTCTTGAACCTATCCTCGAGGCGCTTTTTGGTCTCCTTGAGAGCGGTGACCTTTTTGTCCTTGGAGACAAGAACGTCGGGGGTGACGGCGTCCTTGAGATCCACGTCGAGCGTGTAGCGCGTGGGCATGAGGTGCTGATAGTTCACGAGCTTCACGAAGGCCTTCACCCTCGATTTCTTCGCCGTCTTCTTCGCGGAGTCCTTCTTGATGACCTTGCTAGGGTACTTCTTGATTCCGGCGACCAGACAGTGGCCGTAGGGGCGCTCCCTGGTTCCCTCGTCGAAGGTCCTGATAATCACGGCCTTCCGACCTGCGTAACGGCCTTGCAGGACGATCACCGCCTTGTTCGGCTTCAAGAACTTCACCATCTTCCTCCGCTCTACGGTTTGGCTTTCTTCTCCTCTGCCGCGATTCCTCTTCACAGGTGCACACCTAAACCCTAACTTCAACTTTTATATCTAAATGCCAAAATTCCTTTCCGTCTTCTGGGTCTAGGCCCATTTTGATTTGGGCCGCGTCCGCATGCTTCGTTAAAATGGACATTTTTAATACAAAAAAAAAAAATTGATGCTCATTGGACTAAAATCAACTTTAGATTTAGGCATTTGCTCTAAGTTTGAGTTTTTATCAAAAAGTTATCCAAAGATTTTGATTTTAAATGATATTTTGTAATTCAATTTAGATTAATTTTTTTAATTTAATTGTTATAAAATGTTTAAATAGGTACATTATGATTTTTTTATATATATTTACAGTTTCAATTTTTTATTTATAAATAAATTATATAATCTTTAAGTATAAATTACAATATAAATTTAAATTTGTTATCATTTTTTTATTATTTGTAAATATACAATAAGTATAAACTTTAAAACTAATTTAAAAAATTACACATGTAGTTAAAAAACAAAAATATTAGGTATTTTATTTCATGAGTAGAAAATCTGATTACAGAAAATGATAGTGGGAATTCACTTCTACCCATTACTAACCACCACTATAACATGTTCAGTGAAAGAATTGGGCATGTTTCTGTTTATTTATTTTGAAGCACATACACACTAAAATGATTAGCAAGTGCACTCCACATGTCTCATAGTTATGCCAATAATTTATTTTTTTTATTTAAATCCTCCAGCCACCACAATAATTCAACATTTTAGAGTTGAGAAATTAGTAGAATTCACGTCCACATGATTTTAGTCTTTAAAAATAATTACTATAATTAATTTTAAAAATAATAAGGAGAATAAGTTGGAATTTTTTTTACAACTCTAATTTGAAAATAATAATGATTTTGGGCTTTTGTTTAATAAATTAAAAGTGACTTCATCCCAGTAACAAAAACTAATAAAGTTTACTAATAAATTTTTTATATTTTAAATTTATTAATATAAGTTATAATTTAGGGCTTTTGTTTGATAATAGACATCTTCACTCTTGCCTCATGCTTTTCTGTATTTTTATATTTACTGCATCTTTGTTTTATTGTTCTTCTAATTTCATTGAAAAATGTTTTCACTCCATAAGGTTACAAATATGTTAGATTATTTATGTTTTCAACCTTATTACACGATACTCGTCCTAATCTCTATGGAAATTGAAACTATACATAGGGAGATCTAGATTATTAAATCTGAAACACATATTCGAAACACCTTATGCGGACTATAAAGATATGAAAAAAAAATTGACACGTGGACATAAAAGCTTAAGGGCATTAGAAAAATATTAAAGTTCTAATTAAAGAATTTATTAACCAATAACTAGAAAAAGAATTAAAAAGACTAAAAAACATTAAATAATCAAAGGTAAACCCCAACCATAAAAGGTCGAAGACATTAAAGAGGCTAAACAAATTATATATATATGGGGATTGAAGAGTGAAAATAAAAGTACATTATTTTTTTTTAGAGTTTAGAATTAAGTCCATAGGTTTATAAATTGTTTAGTTTACCATGTTTCTACTTTATTTTATTTAATAAAAAAAGTCAAACTCTAAGAAAATATTAAATTTATATTTATGATTGTTGAATTCAAAAAAAAAAACTAACAAATGTTTTCTGTCAAAGTAAAAATATTTTCCTATTAAATTTTTTATTGCATATTCGGTCTTATAAAAAATTTACAAATTCGTGTATTAATCTTACTTAGATTTATCAAATTTTGTTGGTGGTGTTTTCATTAATTAGGCTACTCTACTTTATTTCTTATTCCCAATTTTGTTGTTTGTTTTATTCAATTCTAAAATCTAAATATTAATTTTCCATTATTATTTTCCTTGGAAACATATCATTTGCAATCAAAGCTAGATTTTATTGCGTACATCTTCTGTTGATTTTGTTCAATGTTATTATTCATGTCACTATTTCATACCACTCATGCATTATTCCCATTTTATTTACTATGCAGAATATTGTTGAATATAAAATTTAAAAAAAAAGTGATGGTTTTCCAATTCTGATTTTAAATTTCAATTATATATATATATATATATATATATATATATATATATATATATATAAAGAGAGAAAAAGTTTAAACAAAGAGAAAAAAGTTTAAAAGATGAAAAAAAATATAGTTATTAATCTTTATATTCAATGCACATCAATTATTTGTTAAAATTTTTGTTTCAAGTGTCTTCTTTAATTTTGTATTATCTTGCTTATTTGTTAGTAGCAAAATTTCAAGATTTATTTTTACTATCGGAACATGATACTACACAAATTAGAAAACAATAAATAAGGTTTTTCGTTCAATATTTCTAACACTTAGTTTGTAAGTTATGTTTGTATTATATTATGTAGTTTAACATTTAGGTAGCTTAATTTTTGTACTAATTTAATCTTTGTATTAGTTTAACTTTTAAGAAGTTTAGTCTTTATACAAATTTAACTTTTAGTTTATATTATATTATATTGTTGTATTTTTGAATTATTGTCTATTAAAAATATGTAATCTAGACTATTTGTGATTAAAATATATTTACAGATTTTGATTGTAAAACAAAACAAACCTAATCTTAAAAAAAATGAAATTTATATCAGATGTATTAATATCTTATGTAAATTTATGTCGGATTAGGACATAGCTGACATAAATTTATGTGATACGCCTTGTGTAAATTTATGTTAAGTATTAACACATTCGACATAAATTTTAGTATTTTTTTAATTTTTGAAACTATTTACCTGTTTTGTGCTTTTTTCAATATAAATTAATATTAATTCTTCATATAAATTATGTAAATTAATACCAATTATTATGTCAGATATAAATTTACATTTTTTGTATTGATGTCAAATTTCTATTTAATATAAAAAGACCAAAATAACTAACATAACTCTTTCCTACACGAGTTGATAGTCTAGGTTAATCAATAATAACTTATTGACAATAAAGTATTACAAATCATCATAATAATAATAATTATTGTTATTATTTTCTGTATGTTAAAATATGGAAATGAAAAACAGAAACTCTTTTATTCTCTTTAAAAGAACAATTAACATAATAAATTATTCATCTACTTATATAATAAATGATTAATTAACTTATATGATATTAACGTCAGCTATTATAGGGACACACACTCCAATTTATTCTTTATAATTTTTAATCATTTATTTATTTTTTCTTATTCAATTGCTAACTCGATCATCAGGTCATAATATACAGAAAACATACATTCAGTTTTTTCTCAATTTTGAACATGTTCAACCCCTCAACTTTGTATTAAGATAAAATGATCAATAACTTTATAAAGATATAGATTTAAACATATACAAATAATATATATGTCTAATGTTTTCATTCACTGTTAATTATAGTTTTTTTTTTCAGTTTAACTAATTAGTTAATTTCACCCTGTTGTTATTATTTTTATCCGAATTTATTATCTATGTTTAATTTCTGCAATAGTCATATATATGTTCTGCAATAGTCACATTTTAGTAATTTATCTGGCTAAAACTTTAATTTTTTTTTCAAACACAAATATTTATCTTAAAATCATTTTTATAATCATTAATAATAAGAATGGCTAAACCCTACATTTACGATGATAATATTATTTAAGTCTAGAAGATAATATCCAACTTTAATTTATGAGAAATAAAACAAGATCTTACGAATAGATATAATTATGTTCTCTCATCATCTAGTTGAGATATTGTTAACATTAGAGTATATTTTGTTATAACTTTATCTTTTAAAATCTTTACAAAAATTAAGACTCTAATCTTAATTATACCGTAGACACCAATATATCGTCACACTAATTAATATATTATTCATGTTATATTTTAATTCGTTGCAATTTTATTTTTAAAAATACGTTGATAGATTCAAAAGAAAAATTTATATAAATTAGTATGTTCTCAACTCTAAAAAATTTATCACCATATTAGAATTATAAATAAACTACAAAACATAATTCTAATTCTAATTAATTATACATATAATTAATTATTATTGTTATTATTTTACAATGCTTTATATTATCTTGCTTTATTTATTTTTTTAAAAAGAAAATAAATATACCATTATAGCATAAATATGAATTTTTCAATTATATATTGAAGAGCCCCATTTTGACAACAACAAAACAATGCAAACTTTTGAAAAAGTAAAGAAATCCACATTGTTTTCAAAGAAGTGGTTAGCCTTGTTCTGGATTCGGTTAACTAACTACTTAATACTTATGCTTTCAACCAACATGTAGAAAAAAAGAGGCTTAATTTAAGCATGTTTATTTCCAAAGCAATCCAACATTTCAACATGGATCCTCAAATTTCTTTATTAGCTCAACAAATAAACCAATTTATAATATATACTAATTTTGTGATGTAATTTTTACTCCAAGCCTCAGACCAAATTACTCTCTTGCCCTCCACCAATTTGAGAAATTGTGTAGTACAATTGTACACTTTGATGTGGAGAAAACCTACCGCCAAGAGTATTATAATAAAAAATAGTTATTATAATTTATATATTTAAAAATAGTAATAATACAAAAAAATGAAAAAATAAAATAAAATTTAAAAAACAATTATAAAAAATATACACATGCAGACGTTTTAGTATTTATATTTCTAGTAGTATTAATAATGATTTATAAAAATTTAATTGTGTAAAATAAATTACATAAAATTGCATTAAAATTAATTTATTGTTATATCGAATAATTTATACGATTTTATGTTGCATTTGTTATGCCTTAAATAAACTAAAAGTATGTTTCATTTCATTTCTTATAAATAACTTTTTTTTTCAATTAATTTTTTACTTACCAACCTTATTTGACCTAAGTGATATTATTAGTAACAGATTAAAAAAAAGGGGGGTTTCTACTTTTTCTTCACTCAAA